GAGCTTATGGGGGGAGAGGATATGCTGGGGAAGGAGAGTGATGGCATGGAAGAGGTTATGAATATAAAGAGAGGGAAAGGGGTCATAGTCCTGTACCGAGTAGATTGGGTGAAAGTAGGAGGGATAGAAAGATGTGGAGTGAGAGGGGGAGTGGTTCGGGTTTGGCTTAGGGAACATATTGTGTTGAGTTGAGATGATAATTGGGAAATGGGGGGAAAGTTGGGAAAATTGAGGATGAGGGGTGGGGGGTGGGGATTGGGTATTTAATTGTGGAAGGAAAGGAGAATGAGAGAAGGAAATAAGGAGGAGGAGGAGAATAGTGTGACTAGATTGGATTAACGATTACGTTTTTTTTATTGCCTCTTTTGTGATTTTGAGATTTGTGGTGTTCGTGTTCGTGTTTGTGTTTTGATTCATGCTCATGTTTCTGGCTTATAATTATCCCCTTGCAGAGGAAAAATGAGCTGGAGCTGGAGCTGGAGCTTGAGCTGGAGCTTGAGATGAAATGGCTTCTGGATGAAATGAAATGAAATGAAATGAATTATGAAATTTGTTTGTGGAGGATGGATGCATGGATGGATATTGGATTAAAGTATGAAAAATGAGAGGATTTGGGGATTGAGGATATGAGGGTAGGATAGGATAATTACGATCATGAGTAAATAATTAGTGATGGATTGATTAAATATTTATTCATGTATTTGTTTTCTACGATATGGTTTTTTCGTGGTATAAATTGTGATGTATTGAGGGTGTGTGAACTTCGAAGAGGATGGGAGATTTTTTATGCGTGTATGTGTTGAATTTGTATTTGTGTTTTATGGTGTGGTATATAAGAGATATTTAGACATGAGAGGGAAATGTATGGGAGGGAGATAGATATGGGAGATATAGAAATGAAAATTTGTCATCAGAGTAAGACTGATATTATTGGGGATATAAGTTTGGAGAATGATAAGAATAAGAACAAGAACATAGAAAAACTTTAATTTTTATTTTTAATCTTTTGTTTTGGATTTGGATTTGGATTTGTAGAAGAGATATAAGATCTCCGGAACTCTATATCTATAAACCAATCATAATGGATTTTCTTCTCTTCTCTTCTTCTATGTGTATAATTTTCGCATTGATATATAATGTTTTACAATCTATATAAACAATTCTTAGATTGATCTACTGCAATTTCATCTTTTTATTTTATCGTGATGTATATTGGTCAATTATTTATATTCTAAGCTTTTCCATCTCTATGTACATGGTCAAGATTCCCATCAATCTCACACTTCCTCGCCACCCAAAAACTAGCCGAATAAGTATTTTGAAGCATAGAATCCGGATCTTGAATATAAGGCGCAGGTAAATCAGTAGATGAGGTAAGGACCGAAAATCCCAATTTCGGGAGCAGAAGAAGAACTTCCGAGTTTGTGAGTTCGATACTACCGGGGTCGGCTATTCCTAGATCTTGAGTTTGATTGTTGTCTTGTTTCGAAGAGGATGTTGAGGAACCAGGTGGATTGTTTTCAAAGTGCCAGAGGAGTGGTCCCATGTTTATGAGGAGACCGCCGGGTTTGAGACAATTGTGGATAGCTTCTAGATAGCGAATTATGTTTGGAGCTGTGTCGAGGAAGAAGACAGAAGCTACTGCGTCGTAGGATGAGGCGCGTTCTTCGTGGCCGTATAAGAGGAGGAAATCAGAGGCACTCATGCTCATTTCTCCTGCTTGTGGATTGGAGTTCAATTCGTCTCCTGGGTGTATGTCCGGGATTTTGACGGATTTCAGATGATTACTTCGAGTTTTATGGTTGGAGAAGGAATGGATCCAGGGGAAAATAGTGTGGTTTTCTTTCTCAGGACAGAAATTGAGAATATATGCACTGGCCAGAAGTTGATGGTAACTAATTTCATTGCCTTCGACGTCGAATCCTTGCATACAGAGATCAAATACCAGACGGCCGAGACCTGCACCAGGGACGAGGACTCGCATGTTGTGATTTAGAGGTGAGGATCTGGCTCGTTCAACTTGAAGAGCTTGCATCACGGGACCGTAGGATGCATTGCGTTCGGCGGCTCCTTCGGATGACCAGTCTCGGTACATTTGGCGAAGGGTACTGCGGGCTTTTTCGAGATCGCCTGGGGTGGCTGTACCACGGAAATCATCTGGTGATTTAGTATCGGAGTTAAGGGTTGAGGAGGGATAGGAGAGGTTGAAGGATGAGAGTGCGGCTGTTAAGATGGCTTCTGATAGTTCGGCATTGTGATCTATGGCGTCGTCAACGGCTATTAAGGTGTCGAGGTAGTTGATGGGTGGTGATGCGAGGAGTTCCCAGTGGGCTCGGGGTAAGGCGTAGAATGCTTGTCTTCTTAGATGAGTGGTGTTGTAATGAGCTGTCTTTTGATAGTGACTGTGTGTAGGTTAATAAAGGTGCACATGTGTGTATTTTTCCATGAATGACAGTCCACATATTATGTTTATTCCCCTTCGGAAAACACTTGGTAGATCCCTTAACATGACACAACAGCACTCGCTTGATGTTCTCGTGACACATGTGATACTATGATTCCAAGTGGATCTCCCTATTCACTGACTAAAAGTTGCCATCATATAATAAAAATATCTTACTAGAAAGAATCTAGAGCTTGATGAAGAACTCTCTTCTCCTCAGGATCATTCTGAGTTTCCTCGTTGCCCTCCCAAGCATTAGAACTACTAGGATCGGACATGTCGTATATTCGATTTCTTCATGAACATTATACAAAGTAAGTTTTTGCGAGAAATTATCGAAAGACACCAATAATCCTATGATTTCCCCAAGTAGTGAAATAACAAGTACCGGTACGGAAGTATTCTTATTAGCTCTATGTACAAAGTTGGTGGTGGCCTGTGCATGGTACGATAGGAAGCTTTATATAAAGTGAACCTAAAATAAACATTCGCTTATGTAAGATTGCAGTTTATGGTTGCGACGGCCTTCGTCCATCTTTCTACTCGTATCCTTCAAACAAACAAACAAACATTAATACCAACATTAATTCTAAGCTGTTTCATCCCGACAATCTTGAAAGCCATTTCCAAGCTTTCAGTTCCGTTCTTTTTGTCAATATGGCAACCGCTGCTCCCAAACAATTGGGTATCACTCCGCCTTTATCTACCGCGCTTCCGACAGATGCTGAGAAGCAAGCAACTGATGCGCTCATCGAAGAATTAACAAGAGAGAATAATTTCGAAAGCCGTGCTGATACTGATAAAAGGTATGCGATTGCGAGTACCAGTTCTACATCCGCAGAATCCGCAGATCCAATATATCTTGCGATGAATATTCATAAATGCTTTATTCCTTCCTGTTTCATTACTGATATCTTTGTTTGCGCAGAACCGCGGTCCTTGCGTCTTTACAAAACATCACCGAAGAATTTGTAAAGCGAGTTTGCAGAAAGCAAAACTTACCAGAGAATTACATCAATAATGCTGGCGGTAGAATATTTACATATGGCAGTTTCCGACTTGGTGTTTATGGACCTGGTTCTGATATAGATACCTTGGTTGTCGTTCCCAAGAATGTTTCCCGCGAAGAATATTTCGAAATGTTCCCAGACCTCTTGGTGGAGATGGCCCCAAAAGGAGCTATCGAAGATCTTACGCCTGTTCAGGAAGCCTATGTTCCGATTATTAAGTTTGAATATTCAGGCATTAGCATCGATTTAATCTTCGCAAGAATTGATACACTTACACAAGTTCCAAGGACTCTCACCCTCAAGGACGACAACTTATTGACCGGTTTGGATGATGCTGGCCTCCGCTCCGTTAATGGAACTCGAGTCACTGATGATATTATGGATCTGGTTCCAGAAAAGGCAGTATTTAGAAATGCTTTGAGGGGAGTTAAGCTTTGGGCGCAGAGACGGGCTATCTATGCTAACATTATGGGCTTTCCGGGAGGAGTTGCTTGGGCCATGCTGGTGGCTAGAGTATGTCAGTTATATCCACAAGCAACCGCATCTACAATCATTCTCAAGTTCTTCCGCATTATGGAGAAGTGGCAGTGGCCGCAACCAGTCTTACTGCAGCAGATCAAAAATGGCAAGCTCAACGTTCGCGTCTGGAATCCAAGAGTAAGTTTCACCTCGCATTGTGCTTATCATTTAACTAACTTTGATAGGTATATAAATCTGACAGTTTCCATCTCATGCCAATCATCACTCCTTCATACCCGTCGATGTGCGCGACTCATAATGTAACGAAATCGACCAAAGAAATCATCTGTCGGGAACTTGCTCGAGGAGGAAATATCGTGGATAGAATTATGATGGGCAAGGCACCTTGGAAAGACTTATTCCAGAAGCACACATTTTTCACCAAAAACTACAAATATTACCTTTCCGTCATTTCCGCTAGTACTACAAAGGAGGCTCAACTCATATGGGCAGGTTTGGTCGAATCGAAAGTTAGACTCTTGGTTACTAATTTAGAAACTCATGAATCTATTGCGTTAGCACATCCTTTCAACAAGGGCTTCGAACGAGTTCACAAATGCAGCTCAGAGGATGAAATCGAATCGGTAAAGGAGGGTGGACATCAATACCAAATCTATGAAATTCCAACGGTGACTACCGACCCATCCCATGATCCTAGTCTAGGGATTGCGGTAAAGGATCAGAATGGAGATGTACCAGAGCCCGAACCCGAGAAGAAGGAAACGATGGTTTACACAACAACATTTTACATCGGCCTCGAGCTCCGCGAAGGTAAGTGCGGCACTGTCATCCTCATTGTTATGTGCAAACTTACTGCTATATGGTTATGGCCTTCAGATATGCATTCTAATTACAAGCTTCTATGATATTTTCCCAGGTCCAGCTACTAACTATATTAGGAGCTAAATCACTCGACCTTGCATGGTGTGTTGATGATTTCAAGGACAGATGTAGATCCTGGGAGAAATACAACGAAGAACTAAATACCCTATCTGTCATTCACACTCGAAAGTATGTGCCCTTTCACGATTGTCATGGTGAGAATGGCTGACTTATAGTCTTTAGCTGTGACCTTCCGGATGATGTCTTCACTGAAGGCGAGGTCAAGCCAACTCGTTCTCAAAAGAAGAAGAAGCGCCCTGCAAGCGATGTATGTGAAAGCCAATCCCTGGTCTGGGATCTGGCCCAAGGTTAAAGGCGGAGACTCTCGTTTTTGATCAGGCTATCCTAGATAAATAAGTTCCAAGCATTACTAACTTCCCCCCTAGGACGCTAAACAAGCACCTGCAAAGAGACAGCAAGTAGTTGCTGCTGGATAATCATTCAGTGCGAAACCACCATACTCTCTTTCTCTACTATCATTGATGGGATCTAATGACAGGCTTGCTCCATACTAGCTCTCGCTCATTGCGGCCACCAAACCTAAAACCACGGTTTAAAAAAATCGGAAAAACGACCTAATTAATCAGCCACTAACCTCAGGGCAGTTTACATCGACAAGTTCATTCATATCATTAAGTAAATCCTGAGTATTACCTACTTCCTTGGTCTTCCTTCGGGGTACACCCGTATTAATGAAATTCACATTCAGGCCTGGGGACAATTGTTGAGGGAAATTCAAATAGTAGACCCTCTCGAAATAAATCTAGCACTGGCGTTCCCAATGGCTATCTCTTCATTCTATTTCTAGGGTTGACGGATAAAGGGGGGGAGTCTATTATGCGAAAATGACATCAAGCATTGCTTGAAAGGTCCAGCAAAAAGAGGGCCATCTCATGGCATTCTACATATCTATGTATTTTAGCAAACCAATACAATTTATATTTAGAGACTACGAGTCTCAAATAAAGACGATCCTATGTTTCCATGACCATTGCAACTCGTGCTAATGTGTGTGCACTGATGGTCAATTCTCATAGTGCAACAGGTCTGTTCTACTCGTATTTATAAGTGTGACTCTATCTTTCGATCACTTGGCAATGTCACGGAGCAAAATGGCTAATAATCATTCACTTGATATTATTATGTCTATGCTTCACCCGTATTTATAATTATGTTGGATGGATCTAAATATGCTAAGAAAATAATAATTTTATTATTTAAAATATTTAAAGCATTGATCAATACTCATAGAAGGTAGGTAGTAATAATCATCTTGCATTCCTAATGTAAGGATGTACAGGATGGTACTGCCTTTTAAGACAGTGACGTAGCGCCCATCCGATTAATCAAAAAGCTAGGCATGACAGGCAAGGTTAAGGAATTCTCAAATCCCATCTAGAAGCATCTTGGCAGCATAGCTCTCTTGTCAACATACCTATCTTGTCCCTTACAATTTCAATCAATTCTATTTCTAACATTGCAAATGATCACTCACTTCTCAGCTCAATTCACACAGTTTTATCCTGATCCCAGCAACATCAACATCAACAGAACATGACAAACATTAGCACATAAGCATATAAGCACACTCCGCCTGTGCATTTAGGTTGTTGCCTTCCGCAGTGAGCTACCCAAGCAGGATTGGAACGTCTCCACAACACTCAAGCCCATAGAGCCTGACGGCCTCGCATATTAATCGTGGCTCCTCCTTCACTCCGTCGAGCAGGCCATCCTCACCACAGGGTATCCTTTTTCCGATATCTCTTTCCGCATCCTCGGCGGATTGCACGCGAGCGCTTCACGAATTTCCGATTCGAAACATTACCATTTTGGAAACTCCGCGCACAATCACGAATATATAATTATATAGTTAAGACTCAGCTAAAACAGAAAAGGAAGAGAGCGGCCAGGAAAACTGCCTTTCACATTCTGGAAAGGGCGGGGAGAAAACTTCTGGGCGGCGGTTCTAAAGACAATGCGACGACTTCTCGCAAGCTGAACCCATCATCTGGTTCGATGTCTAGCTATGTCGCAGATGGATATGGGGAGGAAAGAAAGCGTGGTGGTAAGAGGGAGAGATTGGCAGGATATTGGAAGGCTGCAAATGAACTTCGTCAATCATATCAACAATCATATTCGGAGAAATGGGGAGCGAACAATGGTGTGGATGACGATCCGCATGGGATACCGGGCTCATTTCCGGATGTAGCTATTATTTCTCATGGAGATGAGCAAATGATATTATTTCCTTCCTATGCGCGAAGACACACGAAAGAGAAGCCATTCTTTGAAAATGCCAACATGAATCCTAAATTGAACGAACCGGGAGATGCAGAATATTGGGCAAGAGAATGGCAGAAATATGAGGATGATAAGGCTATAGTCGATGTGGATGTCAGAGGATGGCTTTACTCTCCTCATAGAGGACCTATGACGAGAAAGAACAGATTACTCATTGGACTTGCACGTCAATTGAGCGGGATACCAGCACCGAAATCTGGGAGTCGAGATACCAGCCCGGATTCGAATTCGATAAGAGCGAGACATAGAGAACATGAAGAGAGGCGTGATGAGGAAAAAATTGCCAGAGAAGCAGAACAAATATTGAAAAAAGGAAGAGGCGAGGAAGAGGCAGCCCTTCGAGGTGACTATAGTGAAAAGCCAAAGCGTGATTCGGATGGTGATAGTATCTATGATGATCGTGGTAGGCGGCGCACTGGCAGTTCAAGAGCGTCACCAGAGTCATCTCCTCCCGCTCCTCCAGGTAGTCTAGCAAAACGTACATCTTGGAACCAACCATCCGAAATGAGCCATGCGGAAATCTTTACTGCAAATGCGCATTTGATGGCGCGATTGAGACCATTCCTTACCAATCCTATGGTCGCTACTGCAATCACGGTCTTTTTTTATGATGAGAAGAACTCTTCTTCGCGGACGATAGAAACAAATGAAGCAGGTCATTTCAATATGCGAGCTGCTTTGGATTTTGTTCCTACGCATGTTAGAGTCCTGGCATCGGAAAATCTTTCAGCTATTGAAGAAGTCAAGATAACTGAACCAAAAGGAGTCAGTTTAATCAGTGATGTCGATGACACAATCAAGCATTCTTCAATTGGCGCAGGATCAAGAGAAATTTTCAGAAATGTCTTTATTCGTGAATACGCTGATCTCACAATTGAAGGTGTCAGGGAATGGTACAATACAATGTATGATATGGGTGTAGGGGTTCATTATGTATCCAATTCACCTTGGCAACTATTCCCGGTATTGGTGAGCTTTTTTAGAAAAGCAGGTCTACCTCCTGGATCTTATCATCTTAAGCAATACAGTGGAATGCTCCAAGGTATCTTTGAACCAGTTGCAGAAAGAAAGAAGGGTACCCTTGAGAAGATCATGCGAGATTTTCCAGAAAGGAAATTCATTTTGATTGGAGATAGTGGTGAAGCAGATTTAGAAGTCTATACCGATGTCGTCCTAGCAAATCCGGGGAAGATTCTCGGAATTTTTATCAGAGATGTTACAACACCGGCTGATATAGGGTTCTTTGACTCGGCTTTGGGTCCGCTCAGTGGAGAACGACGAAGATTTGAACCTCAATCTCGAACACAATCCATTGATAGTAGGAGATCATCTACATATAGCAAATCAGAGCAATCAGAGAAACGTCCAGCTTTACCTCCTAGAGCTCCTTCGGAAACACAACTTCGGACAAGTACTGGTCCAAACATGGGAACACTCATTGACTTTGGAGACGAATCTGAGAATGACCCAATACATAAATCAAATCGACAACCGGTGCCTCGATCTATGGCGGATATGGAAATACCAGATGTTCCACGACGAAAATCCACCAATGATGGTAAAGGCCCTCCACCTCGACCTTCTAAACCTCTATCACTTCGAGGATCAAGTACAATAACAGTCGTTCAACCTGAACCACCTGAACCTATCAATCGAAACTTTCCTCCTCCACCACCAAAACCTCGTCGTTCAGGTGCTATACATGGAATTGTACATAATCATCCATTAAAGCAAACGCAAAGCAGTGCCGAATTATCTGAAGCATCCAGTGAAGGCTATATATCCAGTGCTCGCCACAAAGTTGCAGAGACCTACAATAATCTTCCAGAAATACGATCTTACATACCAGGAATGGGTGACTCCAGTCCATCATCATATGGACCACCACTACCACCACGTCGCCAGTCAACCATGCAATCCTCAACCTCCACAGCTAGCGCTCCAACCTACACAAACATAAATAACAGCAGTAGTCCCGACTCATCTGAAGATGAATATTACCGACCTTCCAACGGAGCTCCAGGAAACAAAAAATTAGATCTCTGGAAACGTCGCTGGAAACGCGCAAAAGATATTCTGGAAACTCAAGATGTAACTTTAAGGGCTTGGAGGACAGGAGGTGATGTGTGTATAGAGGCTGTTCATATGGTGGAAAAAACTCTACGCGAAATGGGGGTGGAGGGATATGGGCATGGGAAGGGAAAGACGGGGATAGGGGGTGGAGAGGTTAAGGTTAAGGATTTGAAGAGGTAGGGTGGGATGTTTGTAGAGGGATGAGGGAGTGTGTGCATGTGGTAGAGAGAGCCATGAGATACTTTATATTATTGAATGCATTTTTTTGGGGGGTGGCTAGTGCAATGGTGCATGGTGCAGGTGCGGTGGCGGGATTGAGGTATGATGGATGATTTTATCATACGATTGTCTGTATGTACGTACGTATACATTGGGATGGAAAGGAAAGGAAGCGAATAGATTTTTAAGGGGAGAGCGGAAGAGAAGAGAAGAGAAGTGAAATGATACAAAGGCATACATGTATGATAAGGAAAGAGGAGAAGACAGAAATAAATAAATTAAACATTTTAATGTATAGGTACCCGAGTACAAGAAAAAGAGATAATGAAAAAGAAAAGAAAATCTCCATATATGATACACACATATATACACGGCTAACTCAACAATGGAATTGGTATCTATCTAATATCCCCAACTATTTATTCTCTACCTCTCCACTATCACCATCCCAATTAATCCCTCTCTCATCCCTTCTCCCTCCCTTCCTCCATCCACCCTACTTTACCTCCTCTTCGCACCCCCCGTCCTCATAGGCTTCATAGCCTTCTTCTTACCCAACCCAGCCGGTTTCCCACCCTTAACCTTTTTCTTCCCCTTCTCCTTCGCCAAAACACCCTTCCCATCTCTCTCCTGCCTTCCCTTTTTCCAAACCCTCCCTTCTAATCTCTCTCCCTTATCATCCAACTTCTTTTTATCCTTATTACTCAACTTACCCTTTTTCTTTCCACCCACTACCCCATTCAATTCTTCCATTCCCAATTTCTTCGCTGCTAATTTTTCCTTTTCGCTTTCAAACCAGGTTCTCTTAGGTCTTCCTTTAATTTCCGCTTCATGATCCATGAAATTTTGTCCTTTTCTAACTTCCATCTCTGCTTGAGCAAGAATTTTATCTTCTTTTTCTTCCTTCAAAATTTCTTCAATTTCATCTGCCATCTCATCGACTTTTTCGCTCCAGCTATCTGCCTCGCTAGCTTCGATTACCCGACTGACAACTTTAGCTCCTTGTGTCCGACTAGCTTTCACAGCTGCTTTGACGACTTTACGATCTGGTTCAGCGGCAATGGTACAAGCGCGTCCAGAACGACCAGCACGAGCTGTACGTCCTACGCGATGGAGATAGATGTCATGGGATTGAGGAGCTTCGTAATTAATTACTGTGTCAACACCCTTGATATCGAGACCACGGGAGGCAAGATCGGTGGCGAGAAGGAAAGAAGCTTTGCCATCACGGAAAGCTTCTACACTTTTGATACGCTGAATATGTTAGTTGATGAATTGTAGATCGAGAATAGAAACATACCTGTTCTTGACTCATGCTACCGTGCAATTCAGTAGCTTTGAGACCAGACAATCCAAAGATTATACGTGCTCTATGAGCTTCCTTTTTCTGTCTGAAGAAAACAATGACTCGATCAGTGTAGACATTTGCGCAGAGATACAAAAGATAACCCATACGTTTACCCTCTCTTCCTGGACGAAGACGGATGAATTCTTGTGTCAAAGTACCAGCCGTTGATTTTTGAGAGTCAACAAGTAATCGCACAGGCCTATTAAGACCAACACGAATGAGGTTATCAACCGATGAAGACATTGTTGCGGAAAAGAGCATAGTCTGTCTAGACTTAGGAATAGTTGTTAAAATCTCATTCAACTCATCAGCAAAACCAGCTTCAAGCATACGATCAGCTTCATCGAGAACGAGAATCTCCAATGTATCAACAGTAAAACTTGGGGAATTGCGCATGTGATCAATGAAACGACCTGGAGTAGCAATAATGACATCTGGACGAAGACGTAACTCGGCTTCTTGAACTTTCAAACTAAGACCTCCAACAGCCAAACAGAATTTGATATCAGTATGGCTTGCAAGTTTGGTAGCAACGGCGTGACATTGGATTGCTAATTCACGAGTTGGCATAAGAATGGCAACTCTACTGGTTGGCACTTTCTTTGGTCTGTACAGAAGACGTTCAAGAACTGGAACAATAAATGCTGCAGTCTTTCCAGAACCAGTGACAGCTCCACCAACGACATCCTTGCCCAGTAATGCAACAGGTATAGTTTTCGATTGAATTGGTGTAGGTTGAGTGAAACCAACTGTAGCAAGACCTCGGAGAATTGGTCGAGATAGGGACATGCTTTGAAATGTTGAATTGAGTTCGGGCTTAGCACCCTTGACTGGTTTTTCTTCAGGGGCGAAGAATGCCTCTCTTTTAGCAGCTTCCTCGGGGTCTTCGTCTATATCCTCATCGTCATCGGAAGCCTCAGAAGCGGCATCATCTGGATGCGGTGCTGGTGATGCGACGGAATCGTTATCGGAATCATCATCTTCTGCCCCTTCGTTATCTGATGCTTCAGAGTCCTCTTCTGCGCCAGACTCTTCCGCAGATCCAGCACCCATTCCAAATCCATCTTCAGCCATGAATTCATCATCCTCGTCCTCGAAATCCATTTCCTCCGGCGCATCTTGTTCTTCGTCCGAAGCTACAACATCCTCTTTTTCAGCAATTACTTCATCCTCCGCTTCTCCCTTCTTCCCTGTCGCCTTCTTCTTTTCTCTCCTTCGTGCAATAATTTCATCAATATCCACTGCCTTTTTGTCACCCCCATTTAGTCCCTTCTTCGCTCCGTCGAATCCCCAACCCTCAAATTCCTCTAAATCCGCACCACCTTTTCCGTCTGCTTCCAATGCAAATTCAAAGTCTGAATCCATAGCCCCGTCATCTGCATCCTTGATCCCCCATATTTCCTCTTCCTCCACATCTTCATCCTCGGACTTCTTCTTTGATTTTTTGGACTTTTTAGTAGAAGCAATATCATCGTTGCGTTTGCGTTTTTTGTTTGAGGAAGGATCTAAAGGTAATTCTTCTTCGATGACATTGGTTAAATCTTCTCCTTCGTTATCCGACAGTGTGAGAACGAAGTCATCGTCGCGATTACGTTTGGGAGCCATGTTTGATTTATGCTGTCTTAAGTTTTTTTGATAATTGGAGAAAAAAAGTTGGAGAGTGTTTTTACCGCCTCGGCAGAATCTTTTTTGCTGATGAGATTGGCTAGCCTGGACGATCCACCAGTAGGCGCACGGATTAAGAACTATAACCCAATGATAGTAAGATTACTATTTTATAGATAATTATTTTAAAATAGCATTGTTCTGACACAAAACATGTGCATATCTTATGCTTCATCATCACTACCATCTAAATCACAACGAGATTACGAGGACAAATATCTCATTAATTTTCTAAATAATTTCCCATTTGTTTCGCAATCTAAATTACCCATGGACGTTTAAGACCTTCAGATTTAGGGCTGAAAATCAAGGAATCTCAGTACCAAAAAAAGGGATGAGAAGCGCATTGTAAATTTGTATTTCACCATTCATCCATTTATTGATTCCGCCAACTCCAAATTCTTCATGGTCAATCCAGAGCTTCCCTAGATCACCGCTTTTCGAAAGAAAAAGAAAAACCCACCAGTAACGAAGACATCATGATCCCGACCACGAATCTCCTCCGCAGAGGTGATAGCTGTGATCGTGGCAGATTGAAAAGTAAAGACTTAATGAAATAAGAAGCAAGCGGATGTTTCAAAGTTTCAGGCTATATTGACCATGTGCGCAATCATCAAACTTAGACAAAAGGTGTGAATTCCGCTTCATGTTCAAGTTCCTTCTGGAAGTGAACCACATCAAGCCACTCTCCTGCACGATGTAATACAGAACTTCGCCCAACACAACTGAGTCTAAACTCCTCCAGGAACCAGAACTTCCTCAAGAAACTTTTGACCCATTTGTAATTTGGGTCATCCTTTCGAAGAACAGGAACCTCGATCAACAGTTGATGGCATCGGGCGCCGCAACCATGGCCATAGGCAGGATCGTTATCATGGTTGAGCCAGTCGTACCCATCATGACTAGAATAAGCACGACTTGAAACTAAAAGAAGTCGATCTAGAACGCAGCTACCAACACCCTTGCGAGTGTAGTCTGGGTGGGTGTAAAAATGTAGATTGTGTGTGTATCTGGATCGACCATTAGATTTTCCAGCGATTCCACAGCCACGCATTTCGGTGTATCCAAAGCCGATGATGTTCTCATATTGTGGCACCTTGGTTCTAACTTTTGGATTGGCAGACTGTGCTGGAATACGCCCTTTCACAGCAACGACGAGAGGTAACTTTTCTTTTTTCGTAACCTGAATGAGGTACAGGATGTCACTTTCCGTCAGAGGCTCTTGATCCTCTGGAATGTAAGACTCGATTATGTAATGGTTGTAGATCTGCAAAATTTGCTTCGCATCAGCTTCTGTGGCGGGTCGTAGATAAATCTCTATCTTAGGGGCGTATGGATTTGGCTCCGGCTCTTGTGCCATTATTTCCTCATGCCGAGCGTTGTCTGCCATAATAGCGTATTCTCGAGCCTCTCGAGCTTTCTCAAATTTCTTCAGGAAAGCTTCTGCCTCCTGGCCAGCAGTCTGATTGCGTCTCTTCTCCTCGTTGGAGGCATTCAGGGTATCTGACAAGCAGGTTAGCTTATGAGGGAAGGAAGTGTTGGATATCCCCAGAGGCATCAACTTACCAGGAATTGTAGGCTCATGTTTGGGCGCCTTGGAAAGGAGGACGTTATTGACAAAATCTTTGCCGGATATAAAACCTTCAGCAGAAGTATCGACAGTACTTATGACTGGTTGTATAGGACTGACCGCTGCAGACCATTCATGAATGTAAGAGGGTATGTAAGCGGAATCGAAAGCCCCACGCTCCTCCCATATTGGTGGTGCACACCAACTACCATCCCAATCGCACAAGGTCAAGTTTGCTTCTTGTGTTGCAGTTACACGTACACCTTCCTTGACATTTGGATCAACAGCGGTACTGCCCATCTTATCTGCGATATCAGAGAAGCTAGATATTGACCAAAATGGAGGCGAAGAAAGTAAGCTGCCAGCTTGGCTTTTCTTGTCGAAAGGCTTTCCATTGATCGGACGATTGACTTGTGTCTTGCTGTGAGTGGCATTCTTCTCTTCATTTGGTGTAAAATTGTGAACAGCAACATGAGAAATCTTGTCTGGAGAAGACTCGCCCTTGAAAGTAACCAAATTACCAGCCATGTTCGCGTCGTTATTATTGGCTGTGTTCATTGTGCCAATGACTTTCTCATCCGGAGGATTTGTGTCGAGGACATTCCTTGCCCTGATTTTTGGTACGTTTGTGGCAACAAAGTCTTTGCTTGCTGCCTTCAGCTCCGAAAGAATTGCTTGACCATCTTTCATGGTAGGTTCCGGCATGCCGAAGGCTGCACCATCATTCTTTGGCGTAGAACGTTGAGAATTGGTGTTGTTGGCAGGCAATTTCGTGGGTGGAGAGGTCGGGCTATGCGCGAAGCGGCGAGCAAGTAATGCATCGAAACTGGCTTCGCCTGCAGCTAACTTGAGCTTTTCTGCTTTGTCTTCGGCTTGCGTTGGCTTTCTCGAAGAAGGCTTTGGTGATAGATGGTGCGTAACAGCTTGTTGTTGTGCTCGTGTTCCTACATTTGTAGCCTTCCTAGCAATGAAGGCTTGGAAATCCTCGTCTGCCTTGCTTAGAGCCCTGCCCTGAGTCAAATCAAGAGTAGTCCACTGCCAGATCAATCGTTAGCAGAAAATGGCTTTTTGAAATGTGCGTTAAGCGCGGAATGAAAAAAGGTGGATGGAAAATAATATGGAAGATCGAAGGTGAATATTATGTGAAAAATCAAAACAGATATCTAGGGAACATAACATTGCTTACCTTGTTGATGGGCGCCTGAATGAGAGGCTTGTTCGACATTGTTGTAGGATATGAGCTTGTTATTGGAGTCGCAAAGGTCGATTCTTCTATGTTGGAAAGTTCTGGAGAAAGCTATCAGTAACCGTTGACGGAATTTGAAGCTAGTGCCGATTTGACATACCTGCCTGCTCAACAGTATTTTTGGTTGCCGAAACGACTTCCTCGTTTTTTGAGGTTTGAGTCTGTGGGACCGAAAAGTCAGATACCGCTTGCTGGATATTCACTGTGAATAATTGATTAGCTTCGAAAATTCCAAAACTGACAAGTGCCCGGTTTTAGAACTCATGTGTACATTTGGGATCTTCCGTTTTGATTTTTGGTGTGGAAGCAAGGACAGGCTTTTCCTTCAGTTCTCTCTCCTGCTTTCCTTTCACTAGAATTGCCATAAACTCGTTTTCCTTCATCAAGAAGGGGCCAGAGATGACCTGCTGAGTAGGACCAGCTGTTAGGAGTGGTTTGCTCCCTCCGTCACTAGCATCTCTAGATATTTGCAAAGGTGAACCAGAAATAGAAGCCGGAACTGAAGAATCTGAAACGGGAAGAGCTGCAACAAAAGAAGCTGGGACAGATGCTCGCGTTCCATATTTCTCTGCTTCGACCTTTATCATCATTTCTATGACGTCGTGTTTCTTCATGGTAGAAGGGGCGAGAGATACAGCTTGGGAGGCTCTGTTTGAAGAGCTCTTCTCGCTGACAGAAGCACCACCGTTCTTGGTTACTATAAGTATGTCATATGATTTATCCTCGATAGTGCAACTGGCCCTGGAGATGCCTAAGGGTTTCTGGGTCGCGACTGGGACGTTTTCACTACTAGCAGTGTTTCCTTTGGTAGAAGTGGCTGGTTGAAACTTTCCCAATCGCTTTTGCCAATCTGTATGGAGTTTCTTTTCCATCAAGTCCTCAGAAATTTGCTTTTTGGCGACGGCATCTTTGACAACAGCAGCAGGGGACTTGAGAGTTTATAGTTAGCAGTTAGAGTCAGAGATTAAAACAGGAGCTTACTAAGACTGCGGGCATGGTAGCTCCATCACTGCTGTCGACCTCTGTTGGAGTGACTCTTTGGGATGAATTCATACGATTTTCATGGTCTTTAAGAACCATCTGCTCGAACAACTTCTGATGGTTCGGCTTCTTGGCGGTGCTATCCTTGACAACAGCTGGGGTTGACTTGAGAATATGGTCAGTAACGACATCAAGAGATAAAACAAGGAGACTTACTGATACCAAGGAAACCCCACCACCATCGGAAGGTGATATCTCGAGAGATTCTGGAGCAAATGAGCGGGACGATCCACTCAAGGAAGAAATTCTACTCTTAGTCTTTGATGGCGTGAAGACAGCGGCACTTGCTCTGAGAATACTTTCTCCTGAACTGCTTTGGGGGTGAAATTGGTTGGTGACATTGCTGTAGACCTCAGCAGAAACTGGCGTGATGAGCAAGCGAAAGGCTCGACAAAGAAATGGAGACTTACGGCGAGAATTCTTTAGGCCACCAAGTTTAAAAGTTTGGGACGCCAAGTCGTTTACGCTTGGTGAAATATTCATCTTTGATGATGGTGAAGGTTTATACCTACATAAGGAGTTCTCATCCAAATCAAGATTCTTGGGTCCACCTGGAGTGACCTTGTAGTTCTTTTGTTCCCCAACAGCGAACCGTGATGATCCAAGACCATTTACTTTCCCGGCGATTCCCAGTACTTCATTTTCAAATTCTTGGTACTTTTCGGATGCCATGGCACGGAGCCGTTGGACACGGGCCTTTTCGAAGTTCTCATCTCGTTCTGTAGAAGTAATTAATTGAGAGATATTTGCCATTGCTGCAAGTGTACGATTACAATGGTAAACGTGTATAAGGGTATGGCAGTTAGAGTACAAATGTACTGGTGAAAAAAGTTAAGATTCACAAAGATGTGTTAGAGTGGAAAAGCAGTTGCTTATTTGGGTGTTTGTAGGACGAGTATTAACGGGTGTCCAAAAGAGAAGATACCGTAGTGTGAATTTCCTATGCGAAGAGAACAATGTATGTGTGTACGATTTGCTTGATATTAGAAAAGCTTCCTTGGTAGAATCTTGTAGGACACAAAATTACTGGAAAACTGTATGTGGAAGGCGATTGAGGAAAATAAGAAGAAAGCAAAACCAACTCTGTGCAAAAATATCTTCGACAGAAAGCGGTGACAATCTTAGATGATCGAATGTTTAAAGTTCGTGGCTGGAGACTTCTTATTTTGTGATTGGGATATATTTAGAGATGAAACTGTTGCAGGAAGTTTATGTTGGGGTGAGTTGCGGAGGAGTGTAATGAGTGAAGTGAGATGAATGAGTCGGAGGGGAAACTGTAATTCTATGAAGGTTAGAACTTCAGAATAAGAATAAAATTGGGAAAAGTTGAGAAGAATATGACAGTTTAGTCGGCTACACATCCTATGATTAGACTACCTAATATGATTTATCCATCATGAGGAAGTTATTGGTAAAGAAAGTGTGGTTTGAATTGGGAAGCTACATCTTGCTGCATCGAGTCATTGGTATCGGCTTGCGCATACTGACAAACGCACGGAAATATATCAGCGCCAGCCTTTGTTAACTGATCGACCCATGACAATCTCTACCCAGTTCTATAAGAGAAATCTTCAATCTGATAACTCCACCTCCAACACCATCCATCCGCCATAATTTCGAGACTTTCAAAACTTTGGGTGATATCACGTGATTTATACCTGTCCATTTTTCGAGTGCGAGTGGAAAGCTTCAGTTCTTCGCCTTACGATGAACATTGAAGAAAAGTAATTTCAACGACAAGACAGAAAATTTGATCAATATGTTATCAATATTGCGCAAGGCGAGACTTAAGGATAAGGAGATGAGAATTTTGATGCTGTATGAGGCTATTCCCCCAAGAGCTTTACCTTACTGATCGGTTTTCTTTATTTTTGTTACAGCGGACTGGATAATGCTGGCAAGACTACAATAGTCAAAAGAATCATGGGGGAAGATGTCAATACTGTGAGCCCAACATTGGGTTTCATCATCAAGACTATTGAACATGCTGGGTACATATTATGGCACCTGTGGAGGGTTACAGCACGCTAACCTTTCGAAGTTACAAGCTGAACATTTGTATTACCTCTTTACCTCGCAGTACTTCCAGTGATATTCACGCTAAATCTTTTAATTGTAGGGGATGTCGGTGGACAAAAGACTCTCCGATCATACTGGAGAAACTATTTCGAGAAGACCGATGCCTTAATATGGGTGGTTGATGCCACCGACCGTTTACGTATCGAAGATTGTAAGGAAGAGCTGCATGCTTTGCTTCAGGAAGAGGTTCGTTTATGGCAAAACATTGACTGTAGCAACGCCAATCACTGATACTCTTGATAGAGACTTTCTGGTGCGAGTCTCCTTGTTTTCGCGAACAAGACTGATGTTAATGGCTGTATGACGAAGACAGAGATTAAAGATGTGAGTGAAGCCCGCAAAAATGCCGATGTGAAGTGCGAAGTGTTGTCGTTAAGAGAAGCGGACATACTAACCGGAAATAGATGTTGGTGCTAGATGAAATTCGGACGCACAAATGGCACATCATTAATTGCAGCGCGATAACAGGCGATAATCTGGATGAAGGATTGACCTGGGTGGTTGAAGATTCCAAAGAACGATTGTTTCTATATTGAGATCGTTGATTATTCGGAAAGTCAGAAATTGATTAATACCAGGAATATCCCATTCAACTCATTTATTAGTGACATAGTTACGAGAGAAAGAAGTTTTTGTTGTTTGTTTGTTTGTTTATTTATTCTTTATTTTGATTTTAGAGTTCTCTAGTGTCATTGATTCTGTGCCACCTTAAAACTACCTAGAACTTCGTCGGTTCTGTTCTACGGAGTACACAAGTTGATTGTCAGGCTAGGGTCTTCTTGTCTTACAAGACAGGAAAGGCTTGCTTATTATTGTTTGTATAAGCGCGAGGTGATTGAGAGCCGCTCGAGACGGAAAACTGATATTAAGAAATTGCAGGAAAAATAAGTGAATACCATCAGTCTACATACCTACCCGATAAGCTATAGATTGAGTACCCAAATTTATCATGAAATGTACAGCAAATACATCTGCGTTTGCATCATGACTTCTTGAACAACACGACTAGGTATTTAATATATATATTACGACAGAATAGATGCCACGTTTTATGAATTGTACCGGTGTAGAAAATGCTAATAATCTTATTCATACCTCGTACTTAAATGAATGCCCAGCTGAATTTATGAACTTTATGAAACCTTGACCAAGCGAAGCTTTAATCTCCCTTACCTAGAACAATCCCTTGAGGTCCTCCAACAACCTCGACCCCTCGTGCAAAAGCGTTTACCCCGCTGAGTGCAACTTGGATTGTCCTTTCATAATCCTTCTCTCATATAAACATGTCGACTGCCGAAGGAGAGCCCGACGTGAATGATTTCTTGCAGCGTATCAAGGAATTGGGTAACAAACGAGACCAAGAAGATGAAGACCGCACGAGAAAGTTAGAGGAAGAGATATTGCAGGGCAGAAAAGAGAGACAAGCTCGCAGGGCTGGTAATTGATTTCTACTTGAGCTTTCTTTTAGAGACATTGTTTCGCCCACCCGCCATACTTTAATATGATACGTCAGTTATGTACCTTTTGCTAATGTTTACTTTCAGAAAGGGCCTTATCAATATCACCAACGAAGTCTTCTCCTATGAATACACCTACCAGACCTCTATCAGAAATCCTCTCAAACTCAGAAGATCAATCTTCAGAATCTCGGCCCGGGACTGTTGTTGACAACGAGGTGGATCCAATGGCGATGAACTCGATTCCAGATTTCAAGCGAAGTTCGCAGATGAGAGATTCACCCTCTGATGCTATGCCCTCACGAAATTCACCTTTATCATGGGCTCGCAGACCCGAACCATCCGATAGACCTCGAAGTCGACCTTTATCCATGGTAGCTACAGATAGGGTGATGCTATCGAGAACAACCACACCGCCTCCCGAAAATACCGTATCTACTGATGACAGCACCCCTTCTCGAGAACAAATTGCACAATCACTAGCATCCAAAGATCCAGCTTGGTTTAGGCAAACTGCAGATCGAGGCGTCAATTCACCAGCTTACAGAAAAAATCAGGTGGAAGACGAAGAGAGGGCAATACACGGGTCGATTCAAATGCCAGGGATGGCTCGTAACAATTCTACACCTGAAAAGACAATGAATGAGGCCAAAGATTCTTCTTCGACACCTGCAAGATCGGTAACTAGACCCGCAGCAAGAAATAGCATTTCCTACGGAAGCAGTTTTAGGATGTCGTACCAAAGTAACCCAGGTGCCGGCACGGGATCACCAATTCCAATGACTGATGCCCAGAGACTGGATCCACCTACTTCTGATAATTTATCGGAGATTCGAGGTCTAGCAATGTCACCTTCCCAGGGCCGAATATCTCCTGATAGACAAGACCGACCTAATTCCCCAACCAAAGGAATGGGTGGGTTTGTACAAAGTGCAATGATGAAAAGATCGGAGAGCATGAATAAGCGTTGGTCTGTTGCATCACCATCATTAGATCGCAACAATACGTCCTTCGATACTAGTATGGATAGTCAATTTACTTTTCCTTCAAGGCCCACTTCAAGACCTACCTCAAGTCATGGTGAGCTTCATCGCCCGGGCACAGCAGGCTCCACGAGAAGCAACATGACCAGCACCGCTAAAGAGGCAGACAATGGGAGTCAATCACCTCCAGCAGATGATAGTTTGCCTGTCAGCCCTACGAAAACCTCGGACTCAAGACGATGGAGCCCTACCAAATCTAGTTGGCTTGAAAGCGCTTTGAACAAGCCTGAATCACCAAAACCTAAAGCCACGCCACCACCTCAGCAACCCTCGTGGATGTCAGAAATTAATAGGGCAAAACAAAAGGGAAGTGTCGATTTGGGTAGAAATCAAACGGTGAAGCATGAAGTAAACATTGGTGGCCTAATGAGATCTCCTCCTCCAGGCGCATTGACAAAGCCATCTAGTATTCGAGGTTTCCAAACACCATTTGCTCCTGGTGTTACGCCACAGCGAAACATTGAGAGCATGATTAACCAGGACAGTAAGAGTGCGGCTGAGAATACGAAGGCCGAGAGACCATTGACACCCTCTACCTCTACTCCTATTCCGAGTGCTACACCAAGACTTAATACAAACTTTACATCCACTCCATCTTCAACACCTAAAGCCAATTTGAACTCACCTGTTACCCCAGCGAGAAGTAGACCCGCGACTCCCCCGAAGAATGATTTCCGCTCTGTTTTGAAATCACGGCAGGTACCTGTCGATGAAAAAGTACCTGCCGATGAAAAGGCCAAAGAAGAACCAGAATTCAAGAATGTCTTTGGTCAACTTCGGAGGACGAAGACGCAAAGTTATATGGCTCCGGACGTATTGAAGGACAATATTACACGTGGAAAGGCAGGTCTTAACCTTACTGGTGGGCCTCTGAAGACTGAACGCAAGGATGAATTCAAAGATGCCATTTTGAAAAAGAAGGAAGATTTCAAGAAGGTGCAAGCTGAAGGAAATGGGGTTACAAGATCTGCCAGTGGTGAAAGTCGGGAAAACCCGGTGCCTGAAGCATTACAAAGAAGAAACACTTTGGGCAGGAATGGCTCCGTTTCTCATATACTTGCCTCTTCTTTTGAGTCCAGTTCACCACAGCGCACTGCTTCATCAAGCCCTACTCCGAATTTAGTCAAAGAAACAAGTGCCCCAGCACGCATGCAGGAAAAGAATGCAATTGGAGGTAAGCTTGCTGGACGTCTTAACCCTGCTCTCGCAGATCTACTTGCCCGGGGCCCACCGTCACTCGCTAGTGAAACCTCAAGGTCTTCAAGCTCGTCGTTGTCGCAGCGCACGATAAGTATGAGTACTTCGACAACCAATCCTGAATCGAGTGAGAGTGGACCACAACTCACACATATGACCAAAGGGCGTGCTCGTGGACCGAAACGAAAAGCGCCATCTACAGTCACACCAACGCAATCTACATCAACGCCAAAGAATGAAGAAACGATGGAGCAGAAGCCTCGAGTTACAACATCTATCAAGTCTTTTGCTACGTCTGAAAGACCTTCATCGCCTGCTACTAGTCCAATAAAACAGACGATTTCAGCCCTGAACACGGAACAGCCACAAGAAAATGCCCCAGTTTCCCAGTCTTCATCACCTCGGAAGCTAGATATGAGGAGGCGGTCTCTTTTCCTACAAGAAGCGCCAAAGAATAAGGATACACCATCGTTGGAAGCCCCCAAACCACTTTCTCCAGTCAAAATTGCTAATTTCCCCGAGAATATGGTAAAGACACACCACAACAAGCTCGAGGCAACAGTTTCGCCAGATCCACCTAAGCATCAGCCTCTAGCGCCCCCCCGATCTCCGCCACCAACCAATTTCTATGAAGATCGTACATTCAATGATCCTGTATCTCCAGAGACCGCGAAACTCCGCCCCGCTCCGTTATCCCCAAGAAAAGCAAATTCAACAAAGACTCCACCGCAATTTTCGTCTCGTTCTGATCAACCAGCGCCACTCACTCGATCCAGATCGGTCAAGCATACTGCAGCGTTATGGGGTCAACCTGCTCCAGAACAACCTGCCCGCATACCATCCCCGATAAAGTTACCAACTCATGAAGATGAGAAGGCAGCTTTAGTGGGAGCAGGATTACGCCCCACGAGTCCAATGAAACGAATTAAGTCTTTTGAGGACGAGAAAGCAAATCTAGTAGGTGTAGGTCTACCGCCTATTAGTCCATTAAAGCGAAATAAGTCTATTGACCTAGGACTACGATTGGGGGCGAAATCCACCATAGGATCGTCAACACCCCGCGCTCTTCCAATCCCTCCGACCAAAACACGAACATCACCAGTAATGAGTCCTGGTATTCGCTCGCCAAGTATGGCTGACTCTCCAGTGCCTCAAGCATCTGAAGCGTCGCAGCTACTCACTGATTTCTTCGGCGATGAACCTAAGCCAAATTCAAGGTACTCCGTTGATACAGCAAATATTTTAATGGCCCGGCAAGATACCATTTCAACTGTACGAACATTGCAATCTAGTTTGTTTTACTTGTATGGGGACGGAAAGAAACAATCTGTTCCCACCCATCAAGAGCGTGTCCTCTTCGAACGTGAAATGTACCTATGCCCACATACATTTACCAATGCAAAAGGTCGAAGAGTTACAGAAGTATATTGGTGGATCGGAGATGAAGTTTCTGAGCGTGTCGTTAGTAGTGCTGAGATGTTTGCTGAGAGAGAGGCACAAAGTTTCGGTGGGAATTTCGTAAAGTTGAGACAAGGCAAAGAAACCCCAGAATTTTATCAAGCTCTAGGCGGTATCATTATTGTCAGGAGAGGATCATCTAAAAAATATGACTCACTCGCACCTCACGTCCTCTGCGCAAGACAACAATATGGAATGTTGGTATTTGACGAGGTTGATTACTCACCCTCAGTCCTATGCTCGGGTTTTCCATATCTCATCTCCTCACCATCAGGCAAGACATATCTATGGAAGGGTCGAGGTAGTACTGCAGAAGAGCATGGCTGTGCTAGGCTACTCGGAATGGAAATCTCAATGACTGGCGAGATCGAAGAAATTGAGGATGGTGAAGAACCTGCATCATTCTTGAGAGTATTTGAAAATTGCAAGGAAATTCCACAATCAGCAGATCATTGGAAACTAAAGCCCGCCTACAACAAATATTCTGCACGTTTGTTCCGTGCTACCAAGGCAGGCAGAGAACAAGTATTTCCTCCATCCCTACATTATATCATTTCCCACTAATATCCTATCTAGATAGTCGAGATAAACCCTTTCTCCCAGGCTGACCTTTCCCCGTCCGCTATCTACATCCTTGACGCTTTCTTTGAAATTTACATCGTCATCGGTGCCAAAGCACAATCCCAATACGGTCCCTTCCAAAATGCATTGCAGTTCGTGCAGGAATATGGCATCCTCTCAGCCAGCATGGAAGATCGTCCCTTCGTACCAGTTAGCACAGTTGTGATAGAGGGCATACCAAAGGATTTGAAAAGTGTGTTTAGGAAGTGGAGTGAGGAAAGATCACCGACTATTATGCAACCTAGAGAGAAACAGGGTGGGACTAATTTGAAGAGAGTGAGGAGTTTGAGAGTTGTTCCATTGACGGCTGCGTTGGAGGCTACGATGAGTTAGATGGCATGCGTGAAATGAATTGCTGACTTGGTGCTTGTATGTTTATTGGCTTTGACATGGCTTTGGTAATGGTCGAACACTTGCAGAAATGATGGTGTGAAGGGAGCGATGGAGGTGCGTAGGTGGGTGAAGGAGTATATTCTAGCGAGCTTTCATTTCTTTGTACATCCATTTGATATGTATCATTTGTTACTTTACGGACACGGAGTATGGTCTACGGATTTTTTTGAGTTGGAGGGGGGTGGTGGATGGGCGGGCATGCGTTCATTGAGAATTGAGATTGTACATACAGATATTGTAATAATAGAATTTGATACACTTTAAAGTTTGAGTTTTTTTTGAGATTGATTGTGAATTCTTGCGCAAACATTTCTACATCATACACCTGGATATATAAACGAAAAGAAAATCTAATAGGCCACTGCTATCTCTGTAATGTGTAAATATTGCATCTCTTGATAGGCCTTTCATCATCTCTCCAGATATGCCTACGGCCAATCAAAGCCCAAGCTGGGGCTATCACCCGCCATTTCAAACAAACCCATATCATCCATAGTATCTACAGATAGCCAACTCAAGTTTTCCAAATTCGAAAGCTCATCCCTATCTACGCATTGCATTGGTTCTCCTCTCAGCTTTCCAGACAATTTCCATTCCCACTTCATATCCTCATTAAAAATTAAGTTTACAACCTCACTCATTTGTACGAGTCTTTCCGAGACGGGATAGACTTCTGTAGGACGATACATGAGTTGTTCTTCGAGATTCCAGAAACCTCGTACGAGGTTCACGGTGGAGGAACTATCCCACATTCCTTCTTTTCTTGGACATTGTAGTAGAAGTTCTAGTGCTTGGCGACGAGTGCTTTCGCTGGGTGATTTTATGCAGGTGTCTATTTGGGAGGTTTTGTTAGTGGTAGATTATGATGTTGTGATGAAAGGGGATACTGTTGACTTACAATATAAAGGGGCAATCAAGCCTAAATCAGTTGAGAATGTGAAGGGAGGTTTTCCAGCCTTGGCATCTTCCTCGGCAGCGTTAATTAGAGATCGGGCAAGACTAACCACAACTTGAAATTCCGGCTCGAACATGGCGGACTTTTTGGGATCATTGCAGGAGTTTCTGAGGATACGCGGGTCGTCTAGGTCCGGTGCGGATACCCTGGCAATGATATGCACAGTCGTATAATGCAACTTGCACAGTGCGGCGCCCCTCAGCTGTTTACTGTTGAAAGTATGACTTTTACTTTTCATGAAATTTTCGAATGAGACTTTCCAAGCATCCAACTGTGAACGGGATTGTACGTATAAATCCATAAGCTCTTTTGGTTGACATGTGGGAGGGAGGTCATCATCCCACATGTAAGCTCCCCGGAAAAGGTTATCAGATGCTTGAAGTAGGGTTCTCCTTGCTGCATCCAAGTTCTTGAATTCGCTTGGAATGGTATTCTCTCGACTACTGATAGTCGATATTACTTTTGCGAAAGCCATACGTTCTGAGGTTTCTCTAGTGTCGATGTACAGAATAGCTTGTATGCAAAGTCTCTTGAACATAGGCCCAATGTTTTCCTCTATCATATCTTCGTCTTGAGAGTTGCTTCGTGATCGTGAGCTATGCAAAATCTTTAGGCCGCTCTGTAGATGCATTATCGCGCTCGAAAAATGGCCTCGTAGCGAATCAAAGCAGACGAAAAGAATACACGACATCATAGCTGTGAGAGGCTTTTGTTTACCTCCCGCTAGAGACCGTCTTAAATGTGAAATGGCTTTTGTATATTGATTTGTGGCGAACCCGAATGATGATCTAGCAGCGTCACATTTTGTGGCAAGATCCAATTTTCGGTTTGAGAAGTCTTCGTGAAGAGCTCCAAGCCCTATGATAGCATGCCGTAGAGATGGATCTGCAACGCTTGCTTGCAATATGAGATGTTCCCAAAAGGAGGTATCAAAATATCCACTAAGCTCGGCCGCTGTATTAGAAACAAAGTATTGAAAACTTCGTCTCTCTTCCACGGAGCCTAGTAGAAACGTAGGTAGTCGCTGGATATCAGATGTACTTTGTACCTCCGGACTCAATCTCTTGAGATCTGTGATATAACCATCACATTTTCGTCCAGTGGAGACACATCTTTCACATGAAGGCTTGGCTTCATCGCATTTGACTCGACGTATTCTGAATTATGTCAACAGGACCATTTCAGTAACAGGACAGTAATTCCTACTTGCAAGTTTGGCAACCCGTTCTCACTTTGGGTCCACATCTCCTACGTCGGGGCCTTATTTGATTTGGAGTTTCAGCTGACATTGTCTTTCAAAATTCTCCAAAGTCTTCCCAGGGATCCAATGGAATTGTCAATGATGTTGTGACTGAATAAGCAAGTGATACGATGTAACCTCTAATATACCAAGTAAGAAGACTTTGGATTGAAACTTTAAATAGCGTAGGATACCAATATATAGTCCCGCCAATTTCATGCATATGGCAGCTCCCCTTTTTTAATTCTCAGCCTTATGTGATGTGGAGGGTGCATATAACAGTGCATATATGAGTCGACCAATCCATTGACATCCTTTCTCTGCTTGACATCCTTTGAGATTAAAAAAACCCTTGACATGGTGAGATATTAAAGATATGCTGTAAATCCTCGTCCGTATGCTTGCCGCTAGGCGGGCTTGGTTCCCTAGTATTAGTTTTCACTTCCCCCATTCAAACATTAGAAGATTGAGGCTTTCAATCTCCCCAACCTGTATTAGCTACGGTCGAATAAGGCCAGCCACCCTCCATTTATTATTGTTAGAAGCCTACAAAGCTCCTAGCCGTCTTAGATAGTCATAGACTCAATGTAGACGTTAATTTAATCAATCAATCAATCAATGCTTGCCGCTTGCTTGATTCGGCAGCAGCCTCGCCTGAGTCACAAGGCTGACAACTTGAAATATACGAGCAAACCAATCAGCTCCGATTACATAATGCCAATCCCTGTGCTTCACCGCCTCATTCCTTCATCCACAGTTACATGAGAAGTATCATGAGCATCAATTGAATCCATATTTGGTCTCGACATTTATGTCAAAGAATGGGATTGTTATCCCCTTGCCTGACTCCTCTTTCAACGACACAGTCAGATACTACGAATTAAGCATAATGAAATTCTTGGCGGATGGCACAGGAACTGGAATTGATATCATGTAGTACTCTCACTATGGAACGGTACAAACACGATGGCACAGTTTTGTTCTTATGCATTCACGCGCATTTTACGGATTTTGGGATCGTCCCGATTATATGGGAACGGGAGCAAAAGCAAAGAGCCGATCTGGCGACTTACGGGCTTCAAAATTACAAAAATAATTTTTTCATCTTCTGCGACACCTGAGTGATTCGAACACTCGCTCCCGAAGGAAATGCCTGACTCTGTTTGATACAGTAGCAGGGCATCGCGTTAACCACTCCGCCAAAGTGCCGATTTGATATGCTTGAGAACTGCGTTTATGTATATAACTTGTATGCAGGAAATGGTAGGGATTGCAGCCAAATATCAGGCTCGCTCCAGCGGGTGGGTGGAGCAAGCCATATCCAAGAACCCGCATGGATCCACATCGCGCGGTTATATGCATATAGAATTTCTCTTCCTCGATATCTTTAGCAAGTGTTATGGCAGTTTCAAAGTGGAAGCTCAGCAACCTGCCCAACGTCCAGTGGACTTGGCATATTCCATCTCCTGAATGAGCCTCACCCTGCGACTTGCAACAAATCTTTGAGTAATGTGGCTTTGATCAAGTGAAGGTCCGCCGCCGTTGATCCTTTGGTTGGTCTGAGCCTGTTGATTTCAAGGTGGGCAGTTTTAACATGAAGTAAATTTGTTCAATGCCATCAGGCGGGATGTGCCCATTAACGCTTGGAGCTGTATCGTCCACTACGACATTAACAATCCCCCAGCGTCCTCTGGCAGAAGATTAACAACAGACGAATGTCATGATGAGATGATGAAAAGAGTAACGGGTTCAGTCATGTTCACTACTCGGAGTAGGATGGATCTACGAACAGCTAAATCTACCTTATAGCACAAATAGAAGTCGTTTGATTCTCCACGTTGCCCATATTACCACTAGTACCATTTTTTCTATGCACATAGTGTCTATACTGCTTATATGTGTCGAATGTGTGATGACTTTCGAAACATAATGTCCCAACACTTTACGCGTATATAAGAGAATTATGGCGAAATGTGAATGGCGCTGAATACATGAAAATAACTAATAAGTTTGATATCGATCTAGAGTATCTGAGATTGGAATCAACCTCTTCACCCACATTAAACCCTTCATTATCCGTCCTATCTGTGTCAAAGAAGTCATTACCAGCTATTCTCACCAATCCCATCCCAATCCCATGTATAACTAATTTCCCTCATCACCGGCCGCCATTCTCCACATACACATTCTTGTATTCCCATCATCAAACATTTCCACCTCGGACATAAGATACAATACCGAGCTAATGACAGTAACCGGTTATAAAAACTCAACGGCTGACTGAATATGAATAATATATGGTGAATAACAAAAGCTGAATGCGATATTGGATGAAATCAGATGGGATGTATTATTATATGCTATGAGTGCTACTGTTTGTTACTGCTGATGAATGCGTTTTAAAATGCTATTTAGGAATGTTTGTTGCCGTCATCGGCCGGTATATATTTATATTTCATTCGTTGAGCAATGGATTGGAGAATTGATATGAAAGTAATAGTAACAGGATCTTGGAAGGTTTCCAGCGCTTTCAATGGATGTAAAATTAAACCAGCAAAAAATACCTGCTTAAAAAGTATACCATACTGTATGTATGAGTTTTCAGAAAACATAAGGAACCTAATAAGTTCAAAATTTCTTGGTTCTCCTATTAATATTTGCTTAAACAAACTACGTTCGTCTACGCGGGATTAGATAAACGGGTATCCTGTTAAAGAAGGAGATTTTGCTCCCAATATCGAGATAGCCATGCTGTATATATTAGATTCCTGCAAGCATATCATAAAACATAGGAATAGAACAAACCAGCAAATAATGGGAAAGGAGGAAATTGTTAAGTTTACTTTATTGCTATGCTATGTAAGATCTTAATTACATCAAGAATATGAAGTTCCCACTGCAAGCAGTTAAAGAATCAATTACAAGATATTGTACCCCGTGAACCACACCATGTACAACTTAACTTAGATTTCCCTCTGCAGAAACCATTCCGCGTGACCATACATTATAATATGCCTCCCGACCATAATGCAGAAAACCATTACATGTGTAATGTGTATGTGTAGTCTATGCAAAGACTATACGTGTAGAAAAGACGCCGAAGTTCCCATTCCCAGACGCCAAATAAGTTGTATGAAAAACCGAAAGGTGGAGAAACAAGCCCTCAAGTCAATCCTAGACGTCTAAAAAGCAAGCCACTTGTAGCAAGTAAGATGTAGAATACACATAAACGGCGAAATCCCATACAAACCTTCCAAGTCCTTCTATCTATCCATCCGTTCCTCTCTCATATATTCAACTACACTAGCCCCACAAATGATACTCTGTATCTCTCTCCTCCACCCTCTCATACTTGACGCCCTCGAATACAGGTCCTTTCCAACCTCTCACATCGCGCTCCATCATACTGATATAAGCTCTGTATGCACCCAAACTCATTGGTACATGACAACCAGGACAGTAGAAATCTTTTTCTACATCTCCTACTCCAGTTCCACTTCCATTTCCATTCCCTTGATTCTGTCTCTGACCAGCATTCCCACAAACATGAACACTGGGATAAAACACTGGATCCTGTGTTACGAATCCACCTTGTCGATACGAGAAATAGCGAGGAGAAAAAGGTGATTCGGTCATCCATTCACCGTTGTTAATAGGATGATGGCGACGACGTCTTTCCCAACGATCTTCTTTGCTAAGGATAGTAAAACCTTCGAGCTCAGGATCATCATAGCTAATACGAGGATGACCACGAATTTTGCGCAGAGAAGGACGCGGGCCGATTGGTGCGTAGACGATTTTAAAGGTCTCAAGGCATTTCAGTTTGAGATCTTGGGGTTTGGAGTTTTGATCCCAGTCGCCCCAAAGAAGACGAAGTTCGACTGGTGAATCGATGAGGGAACTGTCTATTGCGAGGTGTTTGACGAAGGAAAGGGGATGTAGTTCTTTGCTGTCGTTGTTGCCGAAGATGGCTTTGGTGGTGGTGAAATTCGCGGTGTATGGTGAGGCGTCTTCCATGGACGTTGTGGCTCGTCGGACGTAACATGTATCAACTTCGAGATTGAGATAGATGATAGCTTCACAGGCAGAGTTTGGGAGAGACAGTTGCTTGAAAAGGGGTAGGAGCTCATCACGAGCTTCTCCGCATGTGGCGAGGAGGGCTGGTGCTGGACTAAGCGAGACTAGACTCTCTGTTGGGTGATCGTAGGTGATTTGGACGATTCGGGGATGAATTGCTGCTAGTTTCCAGATCTTGATACGGAGTTCCTTTGGTAAAAATGGAAATAAAGTGAAGCTTGCTAGGTTGGAGGACTGAAGCAGCATCCTGGGTAGTTCTTCTGGTAATTGCCACTTCAATTGTCGTACTTCCAAACCTGGAGGCGTTGAAGGCGTAGTGTCAATGATATTGACTGTTGAAGCAAAGGTTGATTCTTTGTCCGTGGTCAGGGTTAGGCGATCATTAGTGAGCGGTGGTGTTGTTGATCCTACAGCAAAGCTCAGGGGATCATCAAGCAGCAGTGACCTTGTTGATTCCATGGCTAAGCTCAAGGGATCATTAGTGAGTGGAGGTGCTGTTGCTCGCTTCCGCTAAGGTAATTGTCAGAAATGTTTGTAGTTTCCTATGTCCCATTATGACAAGATTGACAGTAATTAGCTACTCCCGGTGTATAACAAATTAATTTTGATATTCCTTTGCTTTAATTGACAATCTTACTATAATCTCGAGAGCTTGAATAAAACTTGCAAACGTGCATAGCACTTAAGCTTTGTTTGGTAGCCTTTCAAGAGGGAGAATGTAAGGTGTGTACAGAGAAAAGAAACAGATGGAAGAGGCTTACACTAGACAATTTTTGGAGGCTCTGTAAGCTTCCTTTTCCAATTGACATTGGATCAAGTGAATGGAACATTTCACGAGTCATTGTGGTTCCTGTAGTTCCTATAGTGTTTGTAGCGTGTCTGTTTTGATTTTCCAAATCCTAAATGATGAAAATGTGTAAAGAAGATAGAGTAGGAAAAGATTCTTCAATCAAGAAGATAATAGAGACATGTGAAATTGTTTGGAAGGTTCCATTCACTCTGGAGGCAGCGCGTCAATATCAGGTCGAAATCAGATCGTGCAGCCAATATAACCTTGTTGCCTGTAGATCACCATGATGTGAAAAGTGAATCTGATGATAGGGAAATTTGGTCTTCATACTTCAGACGAGAATTATCAAGATGTGTATCTTTTACCGTCCTTTTGCCGTGCTGTGTACTGAGGTGTTTGGAATCTTCCGAGAAGGATACTTGCTCAAATATGATGAGGATGAAAGGCTTTGGGATGATTGTCCTGAACGAAAGAACAAACCAGAGGCAGTGCAGCACCCAAGTTTCTGTTTCTAGAGTATCTTGTAGACCCCATAAGTCTCATACATGATACCACTATATGAGATATTACTATGGCAACAATGATGTTGTTGCATAACAGTACACGATGGAACATACCATTCATGCATAGTCTTCATCTTCACATGTCAACACATATGGGTGATCTGCCAAAGATGAGGTTCAGATGAAATATCATAATCTAGGATATTCTTCTGTGGTCTTCGATGCAATTCCAGCCGTATGATTAGATGGATATACAAAAAGAAATAATAATAGTTGGCTAGTAGATAGAACTAGTAGTCAATTCTACGCAACAAGTATACAAGAGAAAGAAGGATAGACTCAAGGTTCGGCAAAGAAAAAGAATCAAGAGCATATACTTCAGTTGTTTAGATGACATGATTTTCAGTTGTATATTTCTCAATAAAACGCAGAGTCAAGGGCAAACATGTGTAGATCCTGAGTCAAAGACTACCTTGACCTTCAAGTATTCTTGTGTTTACATTGTGCTCCGTGACCGAAAAGCCCTTATGGAAGGTTCGAAGTGAATTCTCTGTACCATTAGAGACTGACTTTTTATGAGGTTCAAAAGAAGAGGGGGTAGATGTCCTAGATAATCACCAGCGATGAGAGACCGTCATGGTGCTGCTAGATCGCAGACATATGGTGATAATAGTATGAAAATACATCCAAACATGCGAAAGATGAAAGTTCCTGAAAGGTAAATAGGTAGTTAATGTAGGAAAATGCGAGGAGGGAAAATATCTAGTACGACTTTATTGATATTAGAAATTCCCTCGAGGACTTTCCAAAATACCGTAATGTCCATTTCATTTCATAAGCGCAGCTAAAATGACAAGGACAAGGTCCGGTGGTTTCATTCATCACCAAAGCGAACCTGGAACATCGTCATTTCAAGAATATCAAATAATGCGCAACATTTATATCTCCTAAAATCCGAATACCCTCAATTGAGGGCGCATCAATATCCACTTCTGCATACATTAATACTAGTCACTTGGATATGCGATGTCGGCCCAACGTCGAGGAGAAGATCCATTAAATATCGATATAGGCACCAATGCCGATCTTCCACCTCTCGCTGCGCTATTCATGATATATTTTGATATCAAGGCTGGTTATACAATTGGATGGAAACGTTCATTATCAGGCATTGAATTAGATGGAGTGGTCGAATATAGGAGTCTGCCATCGGGTTTACATACTGTGGAGGAGGATCTGATATACTTCACCCACGATAATTATGCAGGACTCAGCGCATTTGTCAACGCGCCGGCGGATGAAGATTCGAGGAATGCGAGGATGATTGCTGTGGGTATTATGGTACCTTTGAGCTACGGAAGACTGGGTAGAAGTTGGAAGCATGCGGAGAGCTTGAAGGATATCGCAAGGTACGACTATGTGATCAATTGGTGGGATACTTGCTGACCCCCTTTACAGTGCGCTTATACTCGACGAGAGCAAAACTGAACGGCTCGAGGAATTCTGGGAGAGCCATAAAGGCGAGGACTTAGGGAAGAGTAAGGAAACAGACTCATTACTAGGTTCCCCTTCAAGCGCAAGATTTAAATTTCGGAATGCACCACCGAAATCGAAAAGTCACAATAGAAACCGTTCAACTTCTGATGGCGCAGCTCTACTTCCTCCTGGACACACATTATCGGTATATCATCCTGCATGGAGCTTACCAAAACTGTTGGAAACATTTGGTCCTATGATCTTCCCAATACATCGGGCTGCACTTCTGAGGAAGAGGATTTTGATTAGTGCTCATGCGCCGGTACATGAGACATGCGATTTTGGTTGGGATACCTTCTAATGTGTTTCTAATATCAACTAATGTCAAATAGTATATGCCATATCCGTACTCTCAAATATCCCTCTTGCAGTCAACGACCTCTTAGAGCCTACCGCTCCACCACAAAGACTCCGACCCCTCTTTTCAATTGGCGTCCACGATATTCCCCTCCTTGAGGATGACCTCAAAGCCTTAAAAAGAAGAGTCACCTCTGAAGATACTGTTCCGACCGACGGGTACGACGAGCCTGGCTGCGGCTGGATAGCCTGCACAACTGATAGTATCCTCGCCACGAAAACCCATCTTTACGATGTCCTCATAACCATGCCACCACCCCACGCATCAGCCTCCACCGCAAAAGTATGGCCGAAGGTCGAAAGTTCTCCCGGCGGCGTTGAACTTAAAGCTACTCAACGCGATCTTCGCCGCTACAAAGCTCTCAAATGGGGACTCTCCCGGACCCCTCACCCGGCCTCTCCAAACATAAGCACTTCCCGCCGCGCATCCACCTCCTCCTACCTCGAGCAATTCCCTTCCCCAATAGACCTCAACTCACCCACCACCACTCTCCCCCCACGAGACGATCCTATGCTCGATATCCCTGACACAGACTTAATCATCGAACCTATATCTTGGGCCGCACTTGCCTACTCAGGATTTATTTGGTGGGCCTCAGCCGGCGAACAACGTTTACATTCACAAGAAGAATGGGAAGCTGACTCTACACTCTTATCATCTCCCCATACGCCAAATCCGTTCTTTACACCCCTTCCCATTAATCAAGCTGGTACCCTGAATGCGGAAACCGAAATGGGTATCATTGCTTATTTCCACCGTCTCACATCACAAATCCTCACTACACTCAGCGATATAATCGATGCATCTGATTCAGACGACGAACGCGAAGACGATCATAACCATTCTCACCACTCTTCATCCCCACTACTCCATAGAGGAAATAGCCTTAGTAATAGTAGTAATAGAGGAGGAGACGCAACAAATGAAGACGAAGAAGACGACGGGATGGGTTGTGTATACATCAGTAGCACAGATATGGAACGCATGGGGCTCGACATTTGGAGCGCGGGAGATTATGTCTTTGTAGAGGAAATCGTCAGGGAGTATTTTGGGAGAAGAGCCAAGATTGAGGGAAGGGGTGTGGATATTTGTGGAGTGAGGATTTGCTAGGTGGGCGGACCTTTCGTGTGGTATTAATATATCTCGTTGCCAGTCAGTCATTGATATTGCTATGGATAGGATAGGAAGTAGGAATGAAGGAAAAAAGAAAAAGAAAAAGCAACAACTTCAACAACCTCAGGAGTTCCGGCTTTGATAGGCAAGGAAAGGAAGTTGTCGGAGTCAGTTCGGGAGTCTAGGAGCAGGAGTCTAGAGTCAAAAATCTTGGAATCTACATAGGCTGGAATTGAATTGAATTGAATTTATTTGATTTGAGGTATGAGCGGGTTATAAAGGCAAGTAAAGGAAGGAAGGGACTGGATTAAGCAAGTCGGCAAGTCAGCGAGTTCAGCAAGCTAGTTATTATTCAATTATATCATATTATGCATTCATTCATGTTGTTCACATTATCCACATGCCTAGAAGGTCGCTCGCTCATGTCAAGCGTTGAAAGGATAGATGTAAACGTTTACATTCATTACATTTCACTACATACAAGACATAACAAATAAACTTATTCATTCATAAACGAAATTTTATTTCTGCTCTGCTTTAATTAAAGACGATGATCCAGATATTTTGATCAACGTCTTTACCTCCAAAAAGGCAAAGCTACAACCGCACATAAAACGAATATGTGTAAAAGCGTTGTGTATAAGACGCCATCCCAAATGCTCATCACGCCTATTGTACAAATACACATGTAAAATTTCCCCAAAAAGAGTCAAGAAATCCCAAACACCCAATAAGTCAGCAAATAGACAGTAGAATTAAATACTAATAGCGTAAGAAACGGTTGGTATTTAGATGTAGAAGAGTTAGACTCATTATTCCCCATCAGTGTCGGTATCGGTGTCCGTTTCACTTTGTTCATCAACTTCTTCTTCAGTGTTGCTATCCTCGTCACTGGAGTCTCGTACAGCTTGCTTCTTCTTTTTTGGTGGGGCACCAGTCTTCATGGCTTGCATTTGACCTGCTAGGGAATCTAATGTGAATTTGTTAGTATAGGTTCTACCAAAAGCGACGAAACTGTAATAACATACCTTCATCTGGTTCACTGATATCATCATCTGCGTCTATTTCCAATGCCTTACTGGCATCCTCTACAACTAGAGTGGCCTCAAGTTTAGTATCGAATCCAACATATGAATCGCAGATAAGATGCATAACGAAGGTATAGCTTCCAGGTTGTGGAGGAGCCTGGAATTGTGCCTTGAGGGTTTGCATGTTGAATGTAGGCTTTCCACTTTCGTCAAATATGGGCTTGTCGAAAGCGAAGAATGTGAAAGGTGGTACAGCGATCTTGCCTTGCTTGCTGTCGGTGAGGAAAACATGCCATTTAGGCGAGTGGTCACGTGTATAGTAAGGGGCGAATGCAAGAGGTGGGAAGACCTGCTTGTTTTCAGGCTTTTCGCCTTTGGCACTCTTCTTGTCGCGACCAAGAATGGCATCGAGGTCATCCTCATCTGGGTCAATGTCTTCCAAATCGAGTTCGTTAACCTTAGGGACATTTTCGCTTCCAGGGGGGATAAATCGTCCTTTCACAACAAATGACACTAATGAACTAGGAGTGATGAATTTCTCGCCTGTGACCTTGAAGAATGCCTTTTCAACCTGTAAACGAGGTAATTGCTTGGCGGTAGACATGGCAATTTTGTACTGGGCTTCTGTGAGTAAGTCATTTCCAACACTCAACTTCTTTCGGTACGCGTTTGGTAGTGCCATATATTGTTGAAGGGTCAAGTGAGTCTTTGAGTCGCCTTCGATTGCCTTTGCAATAGCCGGGGTAATATATGGCAACTGAAGAAGGGGTGAAGCATTTGGTGGTAGAGCTTGAACGATATTTTGAGCAGTCGCGTACGATGCCAGAATAGGGCCGGTGGTTGCGAAAGCGAGAGTGATAGCCGTAAATGCGTTGTTGAGGTCATGGGCGATAGGAGCTACTTCGTATTTAGCTTTATTGAGTTCAGGGTCTTCAAGTTCAGTTCGACCCAAGTATGCCCAGAGTAATGCGAGAGCCTTTCGTCGAGCACCACCATCTAATTCCTCTAGCTTTGTTTTGTCCTTGGTTGATAGACCAGCGGCGGCAGTAGTTCCGTCGCCCTCTGCGAGAACTCTTGATTCCAGCTTGCCAAGTCCTGAATCAGCTTTGTGACCTTTCAAAATTTTCTTGTATTCAACGCCACTGCTTAAAGCGCCAACAATTCCGCCCTCGGTGATGTCTTCTTGGTATTCTTGGAACAGATTGTTTGCACTTTCAATCAAAACCTTCTCTTTCGACATGCGCTGGGTACCATACCACCAGGATCCGACAAGGTAAGGAAGTAAAACTCCCAGAAGAATTGCATATACAAGTACGACATATTTCCCATTTCCTTCAGAGACAATCCAGGTAGGCAAAGCAATTCCAATGCTAAAGCTCTGTTTTCCGTCCGGATGTCCGAATTGTATATAATTATTTCTGATCTCCTCATCAGTAAGCGCCTTGTATGCCTTCGTAATCTCCACGAAATGGTCGTTCAATGACTGGAGTGTTTGGTTCTTGGCTGGGTCTGGTCTAATCTTGTCAGGGTGGAATTTCAGCGAAAGTCGCTTGTAATGTGATTTGATTTCTTTTTCTGTGGCGGACTGTTTCGAAATTAGCCAATATTCAAACAATGTATTCTGAGCCTCAAATTACCTCTTTAATGTCCAAGATATCATATGGATTCCAAATCTTTGGTATCGTTCTGGCTGTGACTTGAAATTGATATGCCATAACAGCAACTATCACCCAACCCACAACCATGGCGATCATACGTTTTATTTTTCGCTGCTTTCTCCTCTGTGCCCTCCTTTGACTATCTATCAAGTCGGCATGTTCAGGCTTGTAATCTGTCTTTATTCGGGGCGCCGTGGCACCTGGGTCTGATCTGGGTCTTAAAACATCCCAAGTCAAAGCTATAGAAACAATGCCAGAAAGGGTACCGACGAAGATTGGGAAAAATTGCCCCTACAACATGTTAACTAACTCTTTGGCAATTTGCGCAGATGTTGCGTACCTGTTCATCGTAGGAATAATCAGTTCCACTCATCTTGAAGTCGTTTTTCGGTCCTCAAGACCTTTTTCCCTTAAAGTTAACTTGCGCGCAAGTGAAGTGATTAATTCGACTTTTTCCTCAAAAGGGCGTTGGCGAATATGTATGTAGCGAAGGACATGAAAGGAACTAAAGTTCTTCAATGAAAGATGTGTTATCATAACTTTTGACTTTTTGGCTCTTCGGCTCTTGATATGTGGCTCGAACTTCGAGCATCACTACCAAGGAAAGCTAGCTACTTCGGGTATAGTCTAAAGCTCCCCACCAATTAGACCGCTGAATACGAACTTTAAATCCAACTGAGATCTGGACAGAGAAGGAAACAGAAGAAAGGATTTATAAAGGATTTATTTTATTCCTTATGTAGCCCTCAATATAGAGAATCAATAACCAATTTGAGATGCTTGAGTTTCTTGATTATGTATAGACATTCGTATTGATTGACCAATAGTTAAGCCATTCTTATTCTCAACTATCTTCATATATCATATCCTCTTCATGGAAACGTATCATCATCGCTCAGACACCCAGCAACTCCAGCATGATCTATATATTAAATCCATCTAATAGCGCCTTGCAATGCAAATTAACATTATCTCCGATGAAAAGCCCGGTCTTGGTATCGTGTCTATCCTTTTTTAGCAAAAACAAAGCAAACTTTACATCTTTCATCCTCTAGAACCGTAAGTAAGACTTCATCATCTAGTGACTGTTTCACCTGGTCGACCTCACTAGGAGTGAGGTTCGCCGGACTGGTGAATATGGAAGTATCAATGTGTCTATACTCCATCAAAGCTTGCATCTTCTTGCCCTTCTTGGACCGTTTTCCTTGAGTGGCTTCCAAAGCAATCTTTTGCTGAGCTTCTACATTTGCTCTGGTAGCTGTTACCAGTGAACATGCTGGATTTACAGGAAATTCGTCATCATCGTCTTCATCTTCTTCACTGGCGTTCAGTTCCTTGTCAACCACCGAGATTTCAGAGGCCATTGCAATCGACTCCTCGCGACCAGAACCTTCACAGCCGCAACCAAGTAGTTCGTGAGTTTGGCATCGCGCATTCATGTCTAATCTAAAGAGATCTCGTAACTCATCGGCTGAGAAACTCGCCTCGTTCTTTTTGCCATCCATGACACTGTCAGCGAGTCCGATCTTGGTGACTTGTCGTTGATAAATTTTTTCATCCATGCCTCCTGACATCAAAAACCTATATATCTTTACTGATCGTTTCTGGCCATCACGGTGAATACGTGCCATGGCTTGAAGGTCAGTTGCAGGGTTCCAATCAACGTCAAACAACACGAGGCGCGATGCCCCGATCAAGTTAATACCAGCACCGCCAGATTTTGCTGAAAGGAGGAATGCAAAGTATTTAGATGCAGGTGTCTTGTTGAATGTGTTCACCAAATCCTGCCGTTTTGCCTGAGGAGTGCTACCATCGAGGCGCAAGAATGGCAAATTCAATGACGAAAGGTGAGACATTAGTAGGTCGAGAGTAGACGTATAGTTGGATACAAGAACTATCTTTTCAGTAGTTGTAGTGGAAAGCTTTATCAGCATACGATTTAGGACTCTAAATTTACTGCTTGCCACAACAATATTTTTCTTCAGGATTTCAGGAGGGATGCTTTCAAGAAGTTGGGCGACATTTGAATTGCTAGGAGTATCTGTGTCGCTCTTCTTGACTAAGAGACTCGGGGCGTTACAGACTTTCTTGAGCATAGTAATAAGCTGTAAAGATGCTTCTGAGCTGCCAAGGACTCTGCCGAAGACCGGGGAGGCAAGAACATGCTGATAGACCTCAGCCTGGGCCTGCGTGGGCTTGCAGAATAGTACATATTCTGTCTTTGGCTTTAAGTATTTGGCGAGTATACTCGCATTGCGGCGTAAAATGAACAACTTGGTCAAGTCTGCCAATTCCTCTTCTCGGGCCGTTCCCTTTTCCATATCATTCTCTGTAGCACCTGGCTGCCTGCTTTTCAAGATTGGAGCCTCAAAACATTTCTTGAAAGTATTGTAGCCATTGAGGAGGCCGGGATTCACAAAGTCCACCATTGTAAAGAACTCCGACAAGTCATTTTGTATTGGGGTTCCAGAGAGGATTACTCGCCTCTCGGTATTCAGATTCCTGATTGCCTGCGCTGATTTGTTCGCAGCTGTTTTTAGGCGATGTCCTTCATCAGCAACGACTATATCTATTCCGCCTCCTTTCTTCAGTTCTTCCTGTACTGTACGTAGCTTTTCGTATCCAATGATCATGACGCTATAACTCTTGCCATGAGTAAAATCGGTGAGTCGAATATTTTTAGAGCCATCAGCGACAAACACTCCTATTCTCTCATTCCCGAGCCACTTATTAAATTCTGCTTTCCAGTTCGCAATAAGAGTGACTGGACAGACTATCAGAGCCTTCTTTATGACGCCTCCCTCGTTTGGATGCTCCGGATTTTGCTTCAATAGTGTCCATAAGAGCGCAATTGTCTGCAGCGTCTTTCCCAGACCCATCTCATCAGCTAAAATTGCACCCTGTCCATTGAAAGATCGGTAACCCATGACACACTCATACAAAAATTTAACTCCCTCCTTTTGATGGTCGCGTAAATGCCTACCTAAGAAAGGATCCACGACAACATCCACAACATCCTTTCCTTTAGCAAGGTGCTTGGGATTGGGACGTTGCATGACGATTGCACCAGGTACAGAAGGATCATGACGGGGAGTCGGAAGACCGTTCTTGTTCTGTGGCATGACAGTTGTTGCTAGTAGAGGATTCTTAAATTGAGACTTGACTGCATCGCTCTTTGGGGCAGATGCATAGAAGCTTTTAGCGGGTATAGTTGAACCTAAGCCACTGTCTTTCCTCTTCCCAACTGTGCTCACAGGGTTACTTTTCGAGATACTAGATAATGTAGTATGAGGCGAGGGTCGTGTGCCTGGACTGTTGCTCTCTGGTACAGGAGATTTATTGCTGTTATTGAGAAATGGTCGGCCAGCAAGAAAATCTGCCTTTGTAATGGTAGCATCAATCTCTACTTCTTTTCCCCCAATACTCAATGTACTGCCGGGTAATAGAGGCTCATTATACATGCAGCGCCCCATCTCCCTGCCATCGATATTCTGAAGCCGAGCGTAACCTCCAGTAACGGCTAGTACTCCATCTCCATCCCACGTCTTGTGCTTTTTCATCGTGAATTTGCGCCTATGTATCATTAGTATGATTTCTAAAGCAGAGATGGAAGGCGATAAACTACCATAATACCAAATAATATCCGTCGATCCCGGATGTATTTTCAGACGAACTAGTGCCTTGACTTGCTTCAACGGGGTTTCTTACGACAACCAAAGGTTTCCGAGGCGCATTGGCAGCCGAAGATGTAATTGGGGCTTTACTCTTTGGAGCTTCTTCGACATCATGTATCAGAAGTCGCCTCTTCTTTGCCACTGGTTTGGTCAAGATTTCCTCTTCAGAATCCGATATGACCTGGACGTTGGAGAAATCATCTACGGGCTTAGTAGATTTTGGCGCATTCTTCAAAAGTGGAGGCCGGAATGGTTTAAACATTTTATCTTCACATTTGTTGTTGAGTGCAAATGCAAAAGACGCGGTGGAGATAAGGTTCGTGTTTATCACGTAAAGCGTGGGACGCGACCGCACGTGATATTTCTTCGCTTACAATCAAGCAGCTCAACTAATCATTGATGATAAAATAATCTAGGACGGCAAGGACATGCGATTTCGTTGTTAGTTGTAATTATCCATTCATTAATTCCCGAGTAAACTATTTAAGCTCTTAAATAACGCCTGCATTTTTGTTCAGGTATATATCTACATTTATTGAAGCATTGAGTCTAAACTCTCTCCCAGCACCCCTTCGATCTTTACAATCCAGCGATTTGTCTCCTTCTCTACTACATCATCGTCATCTTCCTGGAGTTCACTTATGAATGGCAACATTTCTGGCAACATAGCCAACCATTCTTCTCCCAATCTGTCTGTCAGTGCTTGTTCACATTTGACAGCTGCGAGTCTAACACTGGATACCTCAGAACGAAGGTGTTTAAGAATCATTCCGTTGAGCTCTTTATGATGATCCGAAGAATCAGCGGCGGCAGCGAGTTCGACGATAGCTGGGACAAGTTCTTCGACCAAAGCTAATCCGGGGGCGTTCTTAAATTGATCACACAAGACAGGTGCAATTGCCTTGAAATGAGCTGGAGATTGCCAAAAGTCGTCTTGATCATGCTCGAAGCATGGTATCAAAGCTCGAAGAACTCTTGACCACAATTCCCTTGCAGCGTCATCTTTGATATCTGTCTCTTTCAAGATCTGTACGGCATTATCAAGCAGGTATGTCGCATAGCTTGTGACGATTGACTTAAGATTGTCAAAAAACATGGCCATGAAGCCATAAACACTTTGTAAACGCAAATTTCTACCCGACTTGTCTTTCTTGGGTATTGATGACGAGGCCCATTCGACAAGGTTGGAGAATATAGGTCTAAATGTCGAATCGTTGAACTTGTAGATCATCTCTAAAGCCACTTCGTTAACTTGTCCCTCTATGGTCGAGATAGTCTCATCGTCTTGATTAGAATTATCCACGTTGGAAAGCTGTCTTCGAAGGTCGAAGGCATTTTGGAATATTTTTGCAAGTATGGTGGAATGTTTAGAGACGACACTCTTTGGATGAGCTTTAATAGCCATGCTAAGCATTTCAAGTTGTTCACGAATTGCCTATGAAGTTTTAGCAAGATAGTTACAAAATAATTTAGCAATATAAGACTTACCCAAGTTCCTGCCGTTACTGCTGGTGCCCAGTTTTGCTCCAAAGCCATAAACATACTCTTAGCATCGACGCGTTTTGCGGCCAAGTGAAGACAGTTTTCTCTAATTTCATCTGCCTCATCTTCGAGCTCGGCCTCTGCTGAAGCGTTTGATATTGAAAGAAGTGTATCAAGGTACCCACCTGTAATCATGTAGGGCAGATGTTGTACGAGAGCGCTTATAAAAGTGTAACCGGCGTTGTGAAGTTTTTGAGCCTCAACAGTATCTTCAATGCTTGATTTGATGTACTCCAAAGCCTTGGGAAGGGCAACAGGTAATACGGAGACAACACCTTCTCTCAAAATCTCTACCAAAGAAGCTAAAGATAGGAGAGCCATTATTTGCAAGCCAGCATCGCTCTGGCCCAAGCAATGATTACTTGCGATAGTCTCTGCAGCAGCAGATACTGCTTCGAGATCCTTTTTGCCATACTTCTCAGAGATTTTCTCGACACATGCTACAGCAGTACGCTTATAAGGCATGTCAGTAGACTCTCGAATAATTGAAGTGAGCTGGGGTAGAAATCCAAGCATTGCCACTCTTGAAACAGCATCTGATGGGCTTTCTTGGTCGATGCGAAGTTGTAAAGAGCGCAAAATCTTTCGCCGCAAGTCCTCGTTGGGTCTATCCAGAAGTCCTTCAACTGATTTGACAAATTCACTTGTGGAAAGGAGACCCAAAATACTTTCTAGGATGTCCCCACAAGCATTGTGCATTGCCTTCTTGTCTTTCAAGGACTCTGTCAAGACCAATAGGTTTTCCAATAATGTTGAATAGAGTTCGCGAATTCTAGCAGCATCCATATCGTCTCGGTCAAGAAGTTTTGCAGTTTGTGTAATCAATCGTCGTTGAGAAAGAATATGTGGAAGAAGGGTAAGCTCATTGAGAGCAGCGCGTTGCGGGTCAATCTTCTCGTGGGCCCCAAGGAGAATTAAGGAATAGGTGGGCTTGGGTTTCAACAGATCATCAATTAATTCGACGTATTTGACTGAGGATTGGAGCTGAACCTCGACACTAAACGCGTTTGTTAATTCGGCAGCGAAGGATTTGACATCATCATTGACTCCATATTTATCCACCAACATTGTTAATAATGCAAATAGGAAGTCTTCTGCTCCTAACGTCTGAACTAAAGAGATAAACAATCCTTTTCGACGGTGGACAGGAATATGTTCATAAGCTGCAACAAAACTCAAGAGCAACTCGGCAGCCCCTGTAACGGGGTTGCCTTTGTCTTTTCGAAGCGAGCTAATAAGAGGTGGAATGACCTCACGAATAGTTTGACTAATGACATGTGCAGAATAATCATCATTTTGTCTTAACACTGAGCTTCCCATAAATGTAAAGATGGGCATGACACTATGAAGAACAACTTCTGGAGCGATATCCGCAAGTGCAGCAATCATCAACAAAGCACCATTTTGTACTTGTGGACTGGCTGTTTTCTGAACGCAATCGACAAGTAAATCGGCACGAATGTCGGAATGGTCTAGTTTCATCCCCGGGTCTGCCCTGTATGCCTTCAAAATTGACAATAGGCTGTTTAGGACTAAATCTTGTAGATATGCAAGCTCGGATGAAACTTGGGCCTTGAAGTGTTGAAGCTCTGCCAAGGTGTTGAAAAGACCCTTGAGAAGTTCTGGATGACTTCCTGGATCAGAACTATCGATAAGTTGCAACACAAATGTGACTTGGCGTATAGCAGCGGCGAGTTGTTTGGGATCCTGTAAAGAAGCTCTGGCAACTTCACCGTGGCTAGTCCGCCGTCTTTTGCTGGCCGGCGGAGCATCGGTAAGCTTTGCCGCCGTAGGTAGCTGGTCGAGGAAGGAAAGGAGGATTTCGGTTGAAAGAGGGGCATTTCGCAATAGTTCTAAAGCTTCTTCCGTCGATTTACCGTTGTAGCTAGTTTCCTCAGGGGAGGATTGAGAAGCATCCATCAACATTTGAGCTGTCTGTAATTGCACATCACCCTTTAAAGATGTCCACATCTCGCGCAGTCTTGCAAATATGGCCTCAAGCAGAGTAGGACGATCCGACGCAATTTCCCCATGCACAATTTGAGTGAAGAACTGCAGGCCATCTTTGTCGTTGGCTACAACGGTCGCAGCTGCCTGTTTATCGAAGTCTGCCATGACAAATTGTTCATCTCTCGAGTGTTGCAATGCCACTTCTGGACTTAAAGACGCCCATTGTTGAAGTGCCGGAAGTAAAACTTTGGTTCTGGTGGTGCTGGCAATGCTACGAACGTGGTTAAGAATAACTAGAAGTCTCAACTTGACCAAGTATACAGGGGTTTGAATGACATGACTTGACAAAAATGACAAAATTGAGGCTCGGGCAGTTTGAGTTAACCGAGCCTCATTCTTCTTGCTGGGCTCTGCAGATGCACGAGGACTATTCAAAGATTGTTCCAATACGGACTCAATATGAGTTTTATCGAGAACACATTCCTCCAAAGCCGGAACCAATACCTCTCTCAAAAGACGAACTGCAATATCGACTGAAAGCCATTTTGTCTCTTGAGTCTTCACACCTGGACCATAGATATCATCAAATGCCCATTGTCGCCGAGAGCTCGAGGCTTTCTTGGTACTTGCGCTGACAGGGTAGAATGTCTCAATTGCGAGGATAAGCTCTGCTGCTGCACGACGGACCTTCGGCGCAGGGTCGGCGAGCGCTGAAATTGCATAAGGTATGATTCCTTGAATATCTACGCTCGCATTTCCATTTCCTGATAAGTATTGAGCTACCATGTGAAGTGCCGAGACCCGGGCCATAACCGGATACGGGCCACACCAAGTTCTTATATAAAATGTGAGATACAACGTTTTTTCCAGGGCACTAGCACGGTCCAAGACGGATAGCTCGTCGAATACATCCAGGTCACCCCCATTAACTGCGGCAACCAAAAATGCCTGACACAGATCTTGGTAGATGTGAGAAGTACCATGTGCTAAGAACGAGGTCTCCTTAGCAGTACTTTGTGGAAGTTTTTCAATCAGTTGTCGGAAATCAGGTCTGGTTTCTGCTTTCGCGCCTTCATCTCCCATTATTACATCCTCATCTTCCGCCTTTGGCATTTCTATCCGTCTAATTGTGGTAGAGAGCTTCATTTCCAATTCATCCATATCAACATCGGTTTCCTTTAGTGCGCCTTGAATAACAGCCCCTACATGACCAGAAAGTTGAGTCAGCGCAACAAGAGTTGACGCAAGATGTGTTCGGGTATTTTTCTCGGAATCTGTAGCATCATCCACACGATGCGCTACCAGCAGCAGATGTTTCACAACCACAGAGGTCTGCGCGTCGCTGAGAAGACCATGCTCCACGATTTTTTCTATTGTGGAAAGCCCTTGGACCTCTCCACTTTTGCTTATTCTGTCAACAAGCGCAAGACACAACCCGTTAGAAAGTCGGTCGATTCGTCGTTCTTTTCCTAATTCAATCAACTGCATTGGTAGATCCGGAACTTTGAGCAACTCTTTGGTTACCCGTCTCGTAATCTGCTTTGCGCCTCTGTGTTGTGCCAAAATCGAGAGACAGACCAATCCAGGACGAACAGTTTCAGCACTCCAGCCGAGAACTAATGCTTCCATCATCGCTGTCAGAAGTTTGTCGTCCAGTCCTCCTTTAGAAGCTAAGATTGACAAAATCATATAACATCCAATTCGTAAGTCCGGGACCTTTTGCATGGAAAGACCTTCGTTGAGAGTTGGTAATAATCTCAGTATCACATCTTGTTCGTTTTGTTGCTGGACTCCTCTTCTTCCCGAGCGGGCTTTGTCCAACATGTTACTCGTAGCTTCGGTCATGATACCAGCCCAAAATGCTAGAATAGCAGGATAATGTTGCCGAGCTTTACATACATGCAAAACATATGCATTGAGTGTTGAAGCGAAAACGGTACTATCGGTCGCAGCAGCGACAATTGGCCTTCTTTGTGGTTGAGTCAAGGATCGAATATAAGGCGCCAAAAACTTGTATTCTACGGGGACTGTCGAGGGTAATATGGAAAGTAATGTGGTAAATATAGGAAGGGTATGGTAAGGGAGGAAAGTCGTCAAAAGAAATGATGTATTGTACTCGTGGATTCTAGATGGATTAGTCTCGAGAGTGTGCAAAAATCCGGAGTTCGACAAGCATACCTGAATCTTCTCACTAACCATTCAACTGCTTTTATTGCTGGATTCAGACGTAGACGGCCACCAACTAATCCCAAGAAAGCTTCTAGCCGTTTATTCAACTCAGAAATCTCTGCCACCGGCAACTGTGTTCGATCTATTGTTTGACTTTGCTCGCTGAAAATTGTCTTTTGAAACTCGAGAAATCGGCCGTCGAGTAGACATAATTCTTGAAATCCCTCATGGCATAGTGTATAGAGGATATCGAAACTTTGTGAAGCGGCAACTCTAGGTTCAAAAATCAAAGATTTTGAATGCGCTGCCTTTTGCGCCTTGAGGTTTAAAGAATTGGTCGAATTGGTCGCAATCTGCGCCAACTGTGCTTTAAGTGAAGATGCCATTATGTAATTGTCGATACCACAATGCTACAAAATTATGGCATATCGAAGTCCAAGAATAATATTTCTTGATGCTCACTTCAAACTTCTCAATAGAAATTTCAAGCTCTATCGTTATCGAAAAAAATAATTTGGTCGGATAAACCTCCGGCCCGTGACCCTGCTGCTTTAAAGCTGAAAGCCGAAGCTTGGAATCAATGCCTTGTGGATAAAGTAAACTAGGTAGGTATGCTATGGTCATGATAGAGTAACCCAACTTTTTATCCATGTACATACTGTCGAAGTTTTTGGGAATAATATCATGAATTCAAGTCGTGCTCGTAATAATGACAGAAGCAAACCCTCTTGTTCCCAAGTTCGCATCTTTCCGGTCAAAACCCTCTAGCACAGCTGCCAACCTCGAACAGGAGGATGAACAAAAACTAGCGACAAGAGATAAACAACATACCCAGGAAAGAGATCATCCAAGGCATCATCGTCGACACCATAGATCCAGAAGTAGAGAGAAAAACAGGTCTAGGAGTAAGGAAAACTCAAATACACGTGATTCACGCCACAGATCACGGAGTCGAGAGAAGCACAGGATCAGGGAGAAGGAAAACAGTGAAAGACATGGCTCCTACCGTAGATCTCGGAGCAGAGATGATCACCGATCTAGTCGTCGACCTATGCATGAGGGACAAGTCCAAAGAGACCCAAAAGAGAAGCCAACGAAATGCCAGCCAGATATTTCGGAGTCCGTTGTGGCATCCGACATTTATGTTGTTGACAGAAAAGGAGATGTAAAGAACCTAGTGTATGGAAGCAACCACCGCTACAGTGTGCCACCATTTCACCGAATTGGAGCAGGTCGTATCCTTGGTGCGCCCCGAGACACAAAAATTGACAGAGAATATTCAGATGATAAGGGTATTGTGCTTACCAATCTGACAGAATTCAGATCTCATAATCGGGAGAAGTACATTTTCTCCAAAGCTGAGAGAGATAGACCTCGTCTTTTGAAGATACGCCCAGAAGTCCTGGCCGAGGAGTCTTTCTTGCACGATGAAGACTATGTTCCATTTCAGATTAGCAGAGGCAAAAAACGAAAGAGAGTGGATCGAGAGGCTGGCTCAAAGTTTGATTCTGATCACGATGACACTCATTACCGTTCAATACAAGGAAAGGCAAAAATATCCAGTCAACCTCAGGATGACGCTTTTCAATATGCTTCGGACAGTGATTCGTCAGGATCAGACTCTGGTCGAACGATGAGACTTGAATCCTCAATCAAGCAAAAGAACATAGAGCTATCCAGAAAAATAGAACAAGCTCCAGCTGATGTAGAAGCGTGGATTGCTTTAATTGGGCATCAAGATACACTTCTGAAAGCAGGAGATGACCGTCGTCGTATCACTAATGCAGAGATCAGGAGCACAGCGGATATCAAAATCCATATGTATGAAAAAGCTCTGAAAAATATACACTGCTTACCAGACCGCGAACGGCTATTACTAGGTCTGATGGTCGAGGGCTCAAAGATATGGGAAATCAAGGTTCAAGCGGAGCGGTGGGAACAGATCGCAAAAGACAACATTGATAGTCTTATCTTGTGGAAAAGATACTTGGATTTCAGGAAAAGCAACTTTTCAACATTTAGATATGAGGAAGTTCGCGGGGTATTCCTCAATAGAATTCGTTCTTTGAAAAATAGTATCAGCGTCGCACCTGAGTGGATTTCCGTGAAATCACTCTACGAACAACTTTTATATGTGGTTCTTAGAGCTACACTTTTCATCCGCGAATCCGGTTTTACAGAACTAGCAGTAGCAATCTGGCAAGCTATTTTGGAGATGAATTTTCAAGGACCGGAATCCATCCACGCCGAACATGAGACATCAGCATTGGCGAGAACTAAAATACTTGAACTTTTCGGGGACTTTTGGGAGGCAGAGGTCCCACGAATTGGGGAACTAGGTTCTTTAGGTTGGAAAAGCTTTGCAGAGACTGGGGATGACTCAACAGTTCCGAATGCTCAGACTGACAAACCAGAGATGTCACTTAATGGCCAAGATGTCTTCAAAAGCTGGGTTATCGCGGAATCTTCTCGTATAAAAGCTTCCAGAATTCCTGCAAGAACCATGGATGATACTGTGGAGGACGATCCTTTTAGAGTCATCTTATTCACTGATATCGAGAATTTTCTCATCTTACTGCCAAAATCTGCTGAGTACTTACGAAGAACTCTTTTGAATGCATTCTTGATATTCTGTCATTTACCCCGTATACCTTTTCAGGACCACGAGTCGGGTGCGGATTGGAGCCATGATTTATTTCTGCGCAATGAAATGCTCGACTACGATTCGGAGTGGATCAAAAAAAAATACTTCAAAAAGCCTACTGATGACTCGATCGAGGATGAAAAAACCGAAGTGTTATCGATCTTCACAGCTCCTACAACAAACTTTGCGATGGCACCAGAATCTATGTTTAGCAAAAGTTGGTTCAGCAGCTTCAAGCCATGGCGAGAAGTATACGGCAACGAGGATAATGGACCCATTCCTTATATTTGGGTTCGCAACACTTTGAAACAACTCACACAATCATATCCAATAGAAGATTTTGCAGAATACTACCTGGCATTTGAATGGATAAATGAACCCGACACTATCAAAAAGGTCGCCAAAACCCTCATCAAACAACATTCTTCCAGCCTCAAACTCTACAATGCATACGCTATGATCGAATTGTCAAAAGGCAACCAAGAAATCTCAAATAGAATTTACACGGCCGCTTTAGGAATGAGTAAATCTATGCTCTCCTCGCCCGAGTCCAACGACAACAAGGATTCAGTTCACCTCTGGAAAAGTCTAATCTGGGCACATCTCTTAGTCGGGTCCAAAGAAACGGCATTATCACATCTGCTCTCAATCCCACATGGTATTCCAAGCCCAACGAATCCCGTCGAAATAAGTCCTGCAGCCCTCCTCAAAAGTCAACAATATCTGTCGTCGAACCGCGACCATTTCCTCACCACGCGCAATCCCACATACGCAGTTCTTTACACCGAACTCCTCGCTCTCCTCAAATACCTAACCACCACCTCCTCGACAGCTCCTCAATCACCTCAACAGGGAAACATCACAACTGCCCTCGAAATCCTCACTACCTTTTCCGAACAGCTCTCTTCCCGACTAACCTCAAACTCACTATCAGCCTATCCTCTCGTCCTCCTCCACCAATCCATAGCCCGTCTCCTTCACCACCACGCGAAATCCGGACCTTATCGTCCCCAGACCCTCCACTCACAACTCACAGCCTCTTTACGCTTATTTCCCAGCAACACAATCTTCTTCTCTCTCCTCACTTCGCCAGCTTTCGGTACAACCAGACTCATGAGTCCAGTCACTCTGAGTACTTTATTCTCCGAGCTTCTAGATTCATCCTCATCGCACAATCCACTACCCCTCTACCTCCACATCATCCATCATCACCTCCAACACGCACAATCCTCTACCGCGAATCTCAACAAGGCTAATTCAACATTCATCTCTGCATTAAATCTAAAGGGTTCAAAATCTTCACCTACTTTAAATACTGAACTGGCGAATTCAAGCTCGCTTTGGAAATTGTATTTATTATTTTGTGAAACATATCCACAATTCCTACCTCTTTCATCATCCTCCTCCTCATACTCATCCTCAAAAGCCCTACTCCCCCAATCTAGCAACGAAATACAGAATAAAAAAGCTAAAGCTAAGAACCAAAAAGCAAAAGGAACACTAGAATTATGGAAACAGGCAATCGCTCGACTTCCCTGGCTTAAATCTATTTATACACTTGGTTTCGAAAGGATATGTGAGATATATTGTGAAGATGAGGATGACGATGCGGAGGAAAATGTGAAGAAGGTAATGGAAAAAGGAAGAGGAAAAGGGGAAAAAGCAAAAATAGACAGTGAAATAACAACACAGTTGAAGAATATTTGGAGGGTAACGGGGGAGAAGGAAATAAGAGTTCATGTTGATTTGGAGGGGCTGTGGGATGCTGAGGAGGAAGAGGAAGAGAAAAGGGGATAGGGATAGGAATACTAGGTGGATGATAGGAGATATACCTACTAAGACCTACGAGTAGATTGATCTAGAAAATGAATCAATAACAAATAGCGGAAAAGAAAGAAAAAGAAAAAGAAGAGGAAGAGGAAGTAAAAACTCTATCTGTTAAAAAAATAACAAATAAAAGAATCAAAGAATCAAAGAATTGAAAAAAGAACAAGCACAAACACAAACAAAAACACACCATAATCTAAATCTAAATCTCCGTAAAAAAAAAAGCTCTCAGCATAATATAAATAAAAAGATGTATCTACATAGATAGATTATCATCTCGCCACCAATCTACCACTCCAGAAAGAACATAATAATTAATATCCATCGCATCCCATCCCATCCCATCCTGAGAATATTTCCTATAAAAAATACGAAATCAGAACTTAACCTGACCTAGTCTGGTTTGCTCTGCTCTGGCGGAGAGATAGATAGATGTGATGGGATGGGATAATAATAACATTCATTCATTTATTAGCCGCCTAGTATATACGTCCGTACATACATACATACGAACACAATAGGAGAAAGTCTACACGAAGCAGCAAAGTGAAAAAGAAGACTAGAGACTTGGAGGTATGTGCTTAGGAGAAGCTAGATGCAATTAAAACTTCATTCAGCCTGCAGGTTGCAGATATAAAAAGAAGATACTCGAGGGAACCTCATCTCTACTCCATTATTCATATCAAATTCCCGTTTGCCATTCTAGTCCCATAAAAACCTCCATCACGCATAATTCACATATCAAATCAAATCATCAAAATAGCTGCTCATCTAGTAAAAGAGCCAATGAAGTGTAGTAAAAAAAGAGGTCAGTTACATAGAACAAAGGTACAATTCGCATCGTTGAGTTATTTTTCTGCTTTCTGCGCTCAACCCATGCACACCCCTCCTTCCTATTCCCTTTCTTTATCTGTCTGCCTGGCACATTCAATGCCCCATTCTCCAATGTATGAACACAAATATAAGATTTGGCTGTTATGAGCCTCCTCCTGAAAATTTCTCCTTCTGCCTTTCTATTAAAACCAGATACCAAAATCCGAATGCCAATACCCGAAAACCGAAAACTCGCCCGAATAACGTCCCATGTATCTATCGTCATGTCGTGAAAATGCTGGCATGTCAATCTAAAGCAAAAGTTCGTGTTCGGTCGAAAAGTCGTGGGGAAAGCGTATCGAGTGGAATCCTTAAGTGTTAGTGATCGAAAAGCGTAATGAAAAGTTTGCTGTGTACATATTTGAGTCGCATTTGGCAATGAGGTAAGTAAGGAAACGAAAGGTAGGGTGCGGAAGGTGTCGCGCAAAATAGGTATGTTTGGTCGAGATCGAAGTCTGGAGGATACTGGCAAAAGTCTGGTGAGATGACGGATCCCAAAGAGAAGCGATCGGGGAAAGGGCGCATTTTTGGTCGAGGACAATATTCGTTGCGTGGAAAATCGCGAATTAAGCTTATCTGCGTCCGAACCTGCTACACAAAAGGAAGTTCGTAATTGATCATTTTTTATTTCTTCCTCGGAGTGACGGGCCTGCTGGAGGCACCAAGACCACCTGCTGTGACGTACTTTTGTTTTTTCTCCGCTGGTTTTAAAATCTGGGAGCGGAAAATTAGCAAGCCACTCATATGATGAGGAAATTGTAATTGAACCTACCTGGAATGAACATAGCAAACTCTCATCCACGCTCATCATGGCTCCGGCATTGTCAAACTCTCCGCAATAATTGGGCGCACTGAATAGTGTAACCAATTGCCGCTTTGAGAAGAACTCGTAACCATCTTCGACGACCTGATGAGCTCTGCATATCAAATCCATATCATGCTTTTGTAAGAACCTAGAAACGACATCGGGACCGAATGTGAAAGATACACCACGATCGTTTTCGCTCCAGCCTGTGATATCCTTATCCGGGTCGGACCAGAGGAGATCGCAAAGGAGACCGCAATCAGGAATCTAATTTCATATCAGTAAGAGCTCTGGCCTTCCTCCCATGGCACACTGAGAGCTGGCAAATAAAAATTAAAACTTTTCCTCGTGGACTTACATCAGTTGGTCGCATGACACGACGGATTTGCTCCATGGAGTTCAAATCTGGACTTAAACCGCCGTGCATAGTGAAGATCTTTTCATCGATGATCGCTGCAATGGGGAGGCAGTTGAAGCAATCAGTAAATGTTTTCCATAGCTTAATATTATATCTTCTCTTGCACTCGTCGTAAAACCCATAGATTCTGTTGATGGAGGCACACTCGTGGTTACCGCGAAGGATGAAGAAGTTTTCTGGATATTTGATCTTGTATGCTAAGAGCAAGCAGATAGTCTCGAGAGATTGTTTGCCTCTATCGACATAATCACCAAGGAAGAGGTAGTTTGCCTCGGGAGGGAATCCACCATATTCAAACAAACGGAGGAGATCATAATATTGTCCATGAATATCACCACAAATCTAAATACACGCCATCTAGTCAGTATTTGCTTTGCTAGCCTGGCGCGTCTAGAAAGTCAAAATGCTCAATATCGTACCTTGATTGGTGCCTCAAGCTCTAAGAGGATGGGTTGAGAGATGAAAATTTCGCGAGCCTTGGTGCAGAGATAACGAATTTCTTGTTCCAAAAGCTGTACTTGTTTGCCTGGTCTGCTGCCTCTAACTTCTAGCAGTCTATCAATGATAGAGTCGAGATCGACGTCTTGTTCTGCCATCGCTTTGTCCTCCTTCAGGAGAATTTGACCGGGGGGTGTTGTGATGTAATCCGCAGCAGGTGGATGTCAAAAGACAGGAAGATTATAAGATCGTAGACGTATTTACGCTAGGGCTTGGATTCACTTCACTTCTCAATCTGCCGCGCGTAATAAATTAGTCTAAACCGAGAGAGGGTTGATGCAAATACTCGAGGGGAGCCCTGGAATTGTGCTGAAGCTATGAAGCTCAACAAGAATCGGTAGGGTCTCGGCAGAGTTTGAATAACTTACAGTGAAGTTGAATTTCGCCTCAATGGATCTGCGTGATGAAAACCACGTTGTTCAACTTGGCCTTGGGAGAGGATTCTTCTTGATGTCGTGATTGCGTGGTGGTGGTTAATAAATTGGGCTCAAAAAAGTCACCAACTTTAAGCTGAACAGACTCTGAGTAAACAGGTATATGAGAAAAAGATAGTGATTTGTTATGATGATTCACCAGTCTTTTTGATTTATTGATCCGCCGTTGGTATCGCAAAGAAGGCGATAATGTCGTCTTGGACTTCGTAGATGAAGTATCGCAGAGGAGTCTTTGGTCGACTCAAAGAAGTTTCGTGGTTGTCAAGTCGAGGGATGAAGTTGTTACGGGCTTGTCGGATTTCTCTTGTATTTTCAACACAAGCGCGCCTCTTTCGTTTATCGCCTTAAAAAAAGGTCAAAGGTTCGAGAACAAGCCGTACAAAGCAGCAGTAGTGGAGCCAGGAACAGGGAAAAAAAATTATGAGAGCCAGAAAGAGAGGAGAGAAAATTTAAGTTTTCCTGTATTATGTCCGTGATCCGTATTTCTCTCGTTTCTTTAATTTCGTTTTGGTATAAATTTATCTTATCGCTTTGATTTTATGAAGTAAACTTTTTGGAGGTTGTTCAAAGTCATACAAATACCCGGCTTTTGCAGATGGGTTCTTCTCTTCACAGATGGTACACTGGTAATACTGTACGGTGCTGTGATGCGTACGTATTGTTGTTTGAGGTAAGAAAGTGGGAAGAGGGAAGGGGGAGAAAGGTAAAGGGGGGGTGAGATTTAAATTGGAGAGAGAGGAGAGGAGAGGGGAGGGAGAAAGTTGGAGGATCGTTTGCCTTGCTTGGGACTGGGTACTGGTAGTGGTTTTGGTAGTGGTATTAGTACAGGTTCTGGTACTTGGTACTGGTTGAATTTTGAATGTTTAATGTTGAACGTTGAAATGATTGCACTTCTAAAGAAACAACAGGTCAATGGTTTGCTTTGCTTATATTTGTGTGGAATGCCTGCGATTGTGATTAAAGATTGGACATTTTATCATGGTAAACAAGAATGCTGTCAGTCATTCACAGTATAGCAAGAGAGAGGATTGATTCAGAATCAATCAATCAATCAATCGTCAATTCGAGAGGATATGGATATGACAAGGGCCCAATGACTGACTGCATAGCACCAAAGAAAGGTTGTCTGCCTACCTAGTTAAGGTTATGTATGGCCTCACGCAATACTTACACAAAGATCCAATAAATGATAAAGGATTCAAAAGATCAACAGCCATATATAACGATATGAGCAAAGTTCAAACACCGACTCTTTCTTTCTGCATGCAGAGTCTCACCATATCATGTACACTCATAATCCTTTTTATTTTATGTTTCCCTTTCAGTCAACCATTTGTGTCATACTCTGTACTTCTTGGAAATTGCCAATCGACGTTGCACAAAACCCCTCCACGCTGACCAGCCCTCCCAGAATAACCAGTCATTCAAGCGCTTATGCTGTCACTTTTCCAATGCTTCATGCTTCTTTTCAACGCTGCTTTTATATTTCTAGTCCTATAACTATAACCTTGAGGTAGATCTGCTCTCAACCTTTTTATCAAAACCAACTCCTGAACCGAATGCATACTCAACGTCTATCTACTCAGTACGAATATACGAATATACGAGCCACCGCAGCTACTGTATATGTTATTGTATATGTGGAACATCTACAATGATCCTCCCTCCACTTGCCCATCCAAGATTCGAGACACTGGCACGCACACTCATATCTCCTCTCTAAATCCACATTTGAATACGACAACCTTTACGTAGAGGGCGACTGCAATATCAAGAACGATACCCGCACTGATACTAAAAGCTGCACTATCGGTCAAGATCTCAAGATCTTTTGCAGTGGTCTAGCTCAGGTCATTGACAATATCATGATATCGGTCCCGCCCGTACCTTAACAGTAGTCATGATTAGTCTTCTTTCAGAGTCGACCATACTAGTTTTGGCCCATCCCACTACTCCTATTTCGATGTTTGACGAATCAAAACCTAAACGCAGTTAATCGCCAACAACAACCTACATGACATTTTATGTACCTGAGAGAATATCGTTTCCTACTCATGTGCCCTGGTAGTCTTCCTATTCCTTTGTCTTTGTCCGCCAGTTTGCTCGCAAGCCCATTTCAACCAAACCTACGCAGATTTGATACCCACCTACGAATAGCATTTCATCGATAGCCCAGCCGCAGCAAAGCCCTTTAACCCGGTGTCCACCTAACTTCTGCGACGAATCATATACCCTAGTTTTAAGCCACCTTGAAATTTGAGATACTCTACACATGGGAATCCCCTCAATTTCATATGCTTTCTGCTCTCGCCCTCGCTTTGTTCCGAGAGATTACACTCTCGCAAATCACATGCATTCATCAGCTCACATTACCCCGCTATGTCTGATAACAACTGGTTAGCTTTTCCCGAGAAATCTTCTCCGGAGACTTATCGGGCCCTGCATAGCCTTTGCCGAGTCCCGACCAAACCCATTGTCATTATATTTCCCCGGCTTCTAAATTATGACCACTCTCATGACTTCTTTCAACTGAGTGAAATCATCCAAGAGCGGAATTGTCTACTTTTACTCGGCCAATACCGCCGCAGATACTTTTGATATCGGCGGTGTAGTACCCGGACAGCACACCGTTTTTGTTGCACAGAGACCTACCGCTTAGCTTTAATTTACTACCGACGCAGCATCAACTCATTCCTACAAGTGTGTGAAGCTTATGAGATTTGATGTTTTCCGTGTTAATCTGTCATTTGCCATAAGTATGGTGGACTGACTTTGCGTCTTCTCTCTCGGCATTTCTATGTATAGTTTACACTCCCTAGGTAGTAGTTACTGCGCCACTGTTTTCTTGCTTTAAATAATTTTATGAGTTGTAGCTTATGGAGAGAGCCAGCATTCATGCTCGCCACTATGAGGCAGTGCCAATACTTCTGGTGTTCGCCATTCGACAGTAAATAGGGCAGGACTCACAAAACACATTATACCTCTAGAAAGTCGAAGGGGACGTTTCATATTAAATTACTAGCCTTTATCTTGGCTCTACTTCTGTTTGACAGGAGATTTTTGAGACTGTACATAATGGGTTCTAAATTTGTGGTGCTAGGCAACCCTTTTGATGAAATTCGTACTCAAGTTCAATTTTTCCTTGCAAACATACCACTGGCAGTAACACTATCCATCAAACATTTCAAGAACTCTTGTTTCATAACGAGTGTTTTTTTACTATCAATCAGTGAGGGCAAACAGCATCAAATATGCCCGCAAAAATCCATTTTTATTCCTCTGTACCACCAGGTTTGCCATTTCATGGGCAGCTGATATTTAGCCATGCAACAATGTTCTTCTATATCCAGCGACTAAGTACATGGCAGCATAACCACTGAATACGCGACAGCAGTACAATTCAGGTTCTATCTTGTATGATTATCCGTTCAATATCTTCTCATCTGTTCTTCTACCAAAGTCAATGACTTAAGGCTTTCGACAAGTCACCAGTTCTCTTCGTTAACACTCAATTTGCTTTCCTCCGAATCAAAGTTTTGGTTAAAAGTATATCTTCCTTGGCTCAATTTTACTACATAATTAAATCTGATACCAAACTTTTTAGTATCCAGTTTTGGGCACTGATATTTATTCCGTGGGGCTATTTTGATATTGCTGAGACATTCCTGTGCCCAATGCTGATCTGAATTTACTCAGGCATTAATTAGATAGAATAGACTTGGCAAAAGGATTCAAAGAATTGATAATACATGAATAGTTACATAGGGTATCTAGTATTTACATCTGTGTTTTCATTATACCCTATCTTTCAGACTTCAAAGCACACAACGCTAAGGAAATCTATTGTTTGAAAAGTTCTTCCCGCCATCCTACATGTATCTCTGAATACCTATGTAATATAATTATATACTATCCTCTTATTTCATCTTTCCTTTCGCTCCTTTGTCTAATACCTATAGTATTCAAGTCTCCCATACAACCCACCTTTCTACTTCTTTCTTACTCTGACTCAGTAATAAATAACATTCAACACCACTCCCATCTATTCACCATCTATTCACCCCATAGATATCCCATCCCCTTGTCTCCTCTCCCCTCTACTTCCCTCCATCCCTGTTCCAAAAATATCTTATATCTTCTCTCTACTTCAACTCTCCTCCTGTACCTCTATGTAGGAAAAAATCCTCTTATTACTGTTTTAAAGATTTTACAGACTTTAAAGGTTCCAAAGATAGAGTATATACTTATACTCTGATTATTATTTATCTCTGTTAAAGTGAATGGTTCCTGCGTAGCACGTGCACAGGGCACTAGTCCTATTAGGACTAGATTGAGAAGCTCTCTGTAAGAGAGCTTCGCACTTCCGTAGAACTTAGAAGAGAGATTAACCTACTAGACCAATATTACCTCAGTTCTGCCCTATCAGCTTCCCACTATTCCCTGTGTGAGGTCATTCCTTTTAACAATCTCTTAACTTTTTAGATTTTTTATAATTTTATTAATTGAGATATTAATAACTGAGATTTCAATTTTTAATTTATTTAAAACTTGTATATGAAATTGAAAATCTGGAAAATATTAAATAACTTTCAAATGAAAATTTATAATTTTTTTTAATATTATAAGTGATTAATTTTCTTATTTGAATTTGAAAATATTACAAAATGTGACGGAAATCCCTGCTTTCCTCCCACCTTTATTATATAAGAAACCTCAGGTACATTAACCATGTCCACACATGATACGATTACTCGAGATTAGTATGCGATTTAGGTGACCTGAGGATCAGATCCGGACAAGTACTAGGTATCAATGGTTATCGGTAAAGTAAGATCATTGGAGGAATAAATATGACTTCTTTTTGCCTAGCTATTGCGGCTAGGCTATTCATTTGTGTATATATAGAGTAGCTATCCCCATCTACAGGTGCTCTTCACCTGTAGATTCTAAGTTAAATACAATTGCTGGTCTATAAACACCCTTTTGGTCACACAAAATTAATAAAATATTAATTTATTAATCAATTGATCTTCTGAATATTGTAACTATTGATTTATAATTGATTTATAATTGATTTATAAAGTTATAAAAATCATTTGAGTGTTACGCCGAGTAATAGGAAACTCTCACGTGCAATCAATATCACGTGATTGGCTCAGTGAGGATCAGTGAGCTCAGTACTGAGCCGCATTGATCCTATTGAGTAGCCATCGGCACGAAAATCTATTGTCACGATTCACCATTAGGATTGATGGTGTTACGATGGTAGCAAACTGATTAATTAGGAGAGCTTAGGCCTTGTGCAAACACGATCAGATTTCATCGAATTAGTATGTGATCTTGGTCACCTGAAGATCGTATGCGCACGCACCATCAGAAATCACGTGATAAGGAGCCCTAAGAGCTTCATGCTCAACTTAGTTATCAATTAGTTTACCTACATTCTACTTGATCTAGTAACGAATTCACTTTCAAGTGAATACCAACTGATAAAGCCTTAACCCATAACTACCAATCGACGAACCTTAGGCAGCCGCTGCCTTTAGTACAGCATCGTTACATCTATATAATCTAGATGGATTTCCTTTATATAGAGCTTCGTGCTCAAGATCAATTATTTAGTATACTCTACTATTAGTTACAAATTGTATATCATTATTGTCATTACTTAAGTCCTTGCTTGACGTTTAGTTATAAACCATCTTGAGAGCCTAGAGCACTTCCACGTGATCTAGACGGCAAACCTCGTAACAATCCTCTTCTATTTTTTATTTAATAGATATACAATTATATTCCCTTACCGATAATATATATTCAATTAAACTCAATATCGCCGATGTTATTTATACCCTAATCACTAGTATTATTAATTATATATAATCTATATTATCATCCTTCAATTAAATTTTTTTTCCAATTTTCTAGTCAATCTTGGTTTATATTACTATAAGTATTCTTCTCTACTTTTCATTGACAAGATTCTCAATCTATTGTTCTATTCAATATATTCAATATTCCAGTGACTAGGAAATTCTTGTTAAGCTTGCTTAGAGGCTGTTATGAGGTTTGCCGTCTAGATCATGTGGAAGTGCTCTAGACTCTCGAGGTGGTTTATAACTAGGTATCAAACAGGGATTTAAATAATAACAATAATGATATACAATTCGTAACTAATAGTAGAGTATACTAAATAATTGATCTTGAGCACGAAGCTCTATACAAAGGGAATCCATCTTGATTATATAGACCTTCGTGCCTATGGCTAGTCAGGACCGCGCAGCGTTCCTCAGCGGTCCGTAACGTGACTTAAGGTCACGTTACCCCAAGTTAGTCTGTGACGCGGCGTTTGATGATAGCCGTCATAACAAAAGCTTCAAAAGTATCGAGTTTCTTATATAATTCTAAGTAGCTTATGTTAGAGATTTGAAAGTGGAAATTGATTATGTTTATTCCAAAGTTAAGGGGATTAGCGCAGTGGATCCCCAGGATTTTTATGACCACAGTTCCACAGTTGACCTAGCATTGAAACAGAGCGATGGCACATCTTAGGTCTAGCATGCATGATAAAGAGAATATGGGGTATTCAATAGGCCGGGAGTGTTGTTCACCTTCCTCATGTAATCCGCTACTTATCAATCCCCAACAAAGGCGCAGTCTCGGAGGTTAAATTGCAAATGAATAAGTAATTCGTTTGTTTGAGATAAATTTTATGGTGAAAATGTGAAGAAATAATGGAACCCTTGATCAACTGCGTTCTTGCACATGAAGGCGAGTCTTGATACTACTTGAAATTTTCGATAGGTACTTACATGGGAGAAGGGTCTTCGCTTTCAAGGCTCATTTCGTATACTCAGATAATTCAAGATCTATCATCATAGTGCTAATGATGGTTTGCACTCAGTTTACCAGATTACTAGAAATCTGTTTTGAAATATTTGGGCTACTTTATAGCAAAGCAACTGTATATCATATCTCTCAGCCTATTTCCCAATTTCTTTTGACGGATCAGTATCCGGTATTTTCTCTTTATGCCTTACTGCGATCAACAAACTACAGTTCATCCATATCTGATAGATCAGAGCTAGGCGCAGCTACTCCTTCCTCCTTTTGGCATGAAGATAAGAAGGGAGAGGATCCTACAATATTATCACACATGACACTATTTGTTTACTTGTTACCAGCCCCGTGATGAGCAGGGCAGGGTCAAGAAGATGCAAGATCTAGTGTGATCGGATGGATAGAGCGGAACACATCTTCCACAAATCAGGTCCATATTATCGCATTCTTTACCTTTGAGCTTGAAAAGAAGCTGTGTATATAAAGAACGGCCAAATACCAGTTTTTGAATGAGAATTCTAATCATCATTTTCCTGACTTTCTTCTTTCATATAAATCTACTACCCCCTTTTCCGGCCATCCTTAATCTCGGCGGTTACTCTTTTACATAAAAAATCGTGATTCTCATTTATTAATAACTTTACAACCAATGAACAAAATTTAATAAAATTTTAATCATAGATTCATTTTATAATTATCGATAATTAAATTTTAAGAACTTCAAATGTTTTATAACTTTATTAATCAAGATATTGAAAGTTGAAATTATAATACAATTTTTAATTTATTTAATAAAAGATTTTCAAGATTTTCAAATTTATATATAAATATTATTCAAATTAAAATTTGAGATTCAATTATTTATATCTCAATTAATAATATGACAAAAAATCTAAAAAATCTAAAAAAAAATCTTTATATTTATACAACAAGTTTACTATTAGAATTATAGTAACGTGGTTTATCAGTGGGTCGGACATATCAGTGGGTCGGACACTTTTTCCTCGATTTATCACTTTAAAACCATATTATTCAATAACAATTGGATGAATCGATTGAAACTATTAAGAATCTAATAAACTAGCATCTATTGTATTATTTTGACAGGTTCTTGAATTATGACCAGTCTTTCCACACTTACTACAGCATCGATTAGTAGATGATTCCCCATTGGGGTTTCCCCCATTTTGACGTTCGTTGCATTGAATCTGATTATCAACCTCTTGTTGTGATAATATATCTTCAGCTTCTTGTCCAGTAAGTACTCCTCCATTACGTAATTGAATTTTTTTTAGCGCGTCGACGTTTACTTAATGCCTCATTTGCTCTTTGAAATATACGATTCTCAGCACTCAAAAGTATAACTTCATATACCAGTCTCTCTGTACCTTTAGCTAAAGCTTGCACAGTCTCAAATATAGGTGTAGGAGAGCTTGATTGATGACGAGCTATTCAAGCTTTTACTAGAGTTGATTGTAAAAGAGCCTCAATTGGATTGTGAGGGGTTTGAGAGATCTAGGAGTTGGTAAGTTCCAAGGAGGTAGATGAAGGGGTAGAAGTACGAATTCTAATATCTAGTTTTGAGAGTATGGATTGAGGATCAAATGGTATTAGACCTGCCCCTCGAAAACCAGCTTTCATATTCTGAATAGTAATCGATTGTTGATATGCAGCTTTGAAAACTATAAAGAATTCAACCTTAGAGATATGATTGATATGAGCCTTGATAAATCCTTCAATTTGACAACTATATGAACATTTGAGTACGCTAAAACGCATCTTTAGTTCTAAACGTCGTTTTACAAAGCAATGAGCCCAGAGCTTTCCAATCTTCTTCGCACCCCGTGTTTCGAGCATATAATTCGCCATATCTTCCACACTATTTAATTTAGGGGCAAATCCTCTATCATCCATATCAATAATGTATTGAATAAGCACCTCCTCTTCTAATTCAATCAAATTATGACTTTTTGGTCGACTTTCAGCTATATTACTACGATCTTGAATTCTGTCGAATAATGTAGATCGAGGCACACTATAGTAATTAGCAGCCTTTCGAATCGTTAATCTTTTGTTCAATTCAATAGCCTCAATAGCCAGGATTATTCGTGCTTCTTTTGAATGAATTTCCATTAATAACTATTGAATAAACGTGTATTGAAGTGAGAGAGTAAAGGATATTGAAAAAGTGTCCGACCCACTGATATGTCCGACCCACTGATAAACCACGTTATGCTTTTTGTTATTCAAAGAATATCAAATCTAATATTCTATGAATCATAAGCTTGTGTTATCAACGCAAAATGTCGACAGAAAATAAAGTACTTCACTATTATCACAAAGAAGATGATGAAATCGCAGTAATGAAAAGGCAAAGACAAGAGCCGGATGCGAAGATAAATGAACCCGAGAAGAGAAATGCTGCTAAATTGCGAAAACGAAAGATCTAAAATAAAGCAAAGTGATGAAAAAAGGCTTAAAGAAAACTAGAAACGTCAAAAAGTTTCGTCAAGTCCAGCGAGCGGGCTCAAGAGCAGTTCTTAAATCCACAGCTACCACTAGGAGGTGCGATCGAATCATTGTGTGGAAGATTCGAGGGTCGAATGCAAGCGCTGGTTATATTTGAGTGTGAGATACAAACAGCGAAAATTGGTCTTGGAATATTGAATAGAGGTGTAATTGTGAGAGGCCTAGAATCGAACAAACAATCAGATCAAGTATTGAATACGACGCATTTTTTCCCTCCTAATACTTTCGCTAGATGGTTGGAAGACAACGATATAAATTCCTTCAAAACAACTATTCTGCGGTGTTTTAATCGGGATACACTTGAAAGTCGCGATAAATTTTGGCAAAGATTCTCGGGTTTGAATGCAACCTATGAGAAAAAGACCAAGGTTAATATTCAGAGTACAAGTAAAAATGGAAACCTGGAGATGAAACAACTACAATGGAAGACTAGACTGTGAGACGCCTTTATCAGAAAATTGTAGATGATGAGACGGTGTCATCCATAAATATGCTGAATTTATCGAGTACAATTGATAGCGAAGTTCGACTGCCACAAAGCATTCAGCGACTTTCTCCCGCTGTTTGATGCCTGCTTTCCTCTCGCTTATCCTTGAGACCAAGGTTCGACCTTATTCATCAGCTTAATGAATGTGTCGTCTTCGTACAAAGCCATGAGCTTTGCTAGTTTCCCTCTAGATGCCGCTCCGATCCATTTAATGTGGGCGGCATCGTAGAAGTCGATGTAGGTCGCTATCAATCGTTAGCATTCTTGAAGTACAAAACGAAAATAAGATTCGGACTATTGACAACTTACGTTCGCCCTTCCCGTCTTCACTAATCATCCTCTCCCTCAGACTTGCCCATTGCACTTTCAAATCCTCAAGTACAGCAGCTTCCCCACCACTTCTCACCTCAGTAACATCCTCTAAGTCGCACCCCAAGAAGCCTTCCCTAGTCGTCTTGAAGTACCCACGCGATCCATCTTCCTTATCAAGAGCCGTTTCATACACGTCATTTATAATCCATCTGAAAATAGCCCTCCCTATAAACTGGGCGCCAGAGGCATCATACTCGTCTGTCTCATCCACCAGTTTCAAATCCCTAAATCCGTCTTTCTCCGTGAACCTCTCATTCAGTAGCTTGGCTATTGCTGTAGAATCATTCAGGACTCGATGAGGTGGCTGGAGAATCTCGACAATTGGGACCGTCGCGCCGATACTAGTCATGTCTGGAAAAAGCCTTTCACATAGTGGTTTAATGCTAGGATACAAAACCTTCATGGTGGTATATGGTATCCCTTTGTAATTCAGAGCATATCTTGTGAGCCAGCATGAAGGTGACCACGGTTTTGGACCGGAGAGATCGTAAAAACGTACAAGTGGCTCGGCGCTGGACATAGTGAGAATTTCTGTTACAGACCTACAGGGATGAGAGGGTGAGAAGGGAGAGGAGCGAGATTTTGATGAACCTATATATAGATCTGTTCGGCGACTAAGAGCATGTTCTCGGTTCAGTCACTCGGAAAGGCAGGTTGCAGCTGATGATTGGCAAGATTGATCGAGGCTCAAGTAAGAAATGCATCATGTATGTTGGTAGCGTTTGTCATGTTGGTGAAGATGTTGGTCCAAAGATAAGCCCATATTACAACATATTACAACATATCACATCCAGCGCGAGAACTATTGAAGCTCCACAAAACCCTCAGGTATAAATTGATAGAAGCCTCTGCCATGTGCGACGACGCAACTTTGAGCCAATACCGTATAAACTTGACAATGAGGGGTACATCAATTGAGGTTTCATTTCTGTTGAATATAACCAAAATTCAAAGATTTGAGAACCACCGGAGATATTCCACTAGCGAGGAAGGTGGACTGTAAAATCTAGACCCAAGTGGAGGTATCAATCCCGGTAGACTGGAAAACATCATTAGATATCGTAAATAATTCTATTGGTCATGGTGTTTCCGCGAGAGAAGAATTTCGGGCTTGAAAGTTGATGCATAAGATAGCCTACGGCTGCGGAAGCCAGCTAGATATGCTGTCCGTCTTCCGGTGGGAGCCAAGGATTTTCCGCCAGCACCGCTGTCCCGCTACTAGAGTGTATAATAAAAGCTGATTGAACGGCAACGTTAGTTTAACTATTTTCGGATCTTTTCTGGCTGGTTTGACGGAAGCAAAGTGGTCACATGAAACCAATTTGAGGCTTTATTTTCTAAAAAGACTAAGGCTATAACTCTCAGAGCGTGTAGATTTTATAACCTGGATCACGGTGATAATCTTCCTTCTGTCTCAATTATCTCCCCTTAATCGGCATTGAAAATATTTAAATTTTCAAAATTTATTATTATATAAGTAATAAATAGAAAAAGTTACAAAGATTAATTTTCCTTACTTTCTAATATAAAAGGATAACCGAAAAGAAAGGTGTCGAAAAGTGAAGCAATTATTAGACTTAAACACATAACCCAACCTCAAGTACCTTGATCTTTCTCTTCTCTCTCCTCCCCCACTCTCCTCCACAGATCCCCTTCCCCTTCCCCTTCCCCTCACCTTCCTTCCTATTAAAAACCATCTGATCCCTTAGATCATTTTTCTTTTCTTCATTATCCTTTCATTTCACTCGAGCCTTGTATAATCACTCTTTTTCCTCTTTCTCATTCTCATCCCAATCCACCCTTCTGAATCATTCTTCATCTCTCACAAGTAAAGACGAATACAACTACTAAAACTAAAAACTTAAACACACTAATCTAAATCCCAAAAAGACTTTACAAAACAGTTACACGATTTTCAAAAGGCGAAGAAAAATATAATATTTGCTTTCCTTCCTAACCATAAACCTAAATTTAATTACCCCTTTAAAGTTTCGGTTAGATTGTCTATTCAACGAGGTTATATACTGTAACCACGTGAATTTTAGTACAGCGTCACATCAGATCAGATCAAATCAAATCAAAGCAAATGAAGTCAGAGGACATGAAATAATCAAGGTTATAGTATTCCTCTATACCTAATAAGTAACAACTATCTATCCATATCTTTTAACTGTCTCTCAAACGAAAGAAAGAAAGAAGAGAGTAGGGAAATAGAAAAAGATCCATAACTACCATATCATGCCGCATTTGTATACCCATCAAATTCCCTCCCTGAATCTGATACGCCCTGAACCATAGACGCCGAACCAAATCAGTATCAGCCTCTTTTAATCATAAACGCCATTTTCATCGCCATATCGTATCATCTCATATCATTATATCATCACCCTGCACTTTCTTAAACACCACCAAATAATTCTCCTGCCATTCCGCCACCCATACCTCGTCTACCACTTTCTCTAGATGCTCTGACCTCCATATCTGAAGCAACGATATTCATACGTAGCAAATGCTGTCTAGCTTCACGTTCGACTTGCTTTGCTGTCTTGAGAGCTTCTTGTTGGATTTCTTGACGGGTAGCTTTGGGTGTTGATATGAGGGTCTAATTGGTATATTTTAGCATATGGATTGAGCAAGAGATGAAAGTATAAGAGTTGAAAGATGATATAAAAAGACATGCAAGTTAACATACTTTAGCAACGAGATCAATACGAGCATCCAGCTCACCACATTTGATCATCTCTACCAACTCCTTTTCAATAGTCTTTCCCAGGTGGAGCAAAGTTCTTGTTCAGTGTCTCAAATGTAACACAGCTGAATGGAATAAAGTATTGAACTATACTCTTACTTCTAACACGAGTATAAAGTTCATCAACATGCTTTTGCAAGTGGATATCAAGAAGATAATCAGCTTTGTAAGACTCAAGAATCTCCAAACATGTAGAGTACTTGCTACCAACAAATGCTTGAATAGCACGACGAATATGTGGCTCTAGTTCGAGAAAGGCCCGGAAATCGGAGTTTTCGAGAACTAATTTTTGCAAATCATTACGCTCGATGGTAGCTAAAGCGCAAAGACCTCCGTAGACAGCAACATCATTAGCAGTGACAATTGTATAGTAACTTCCGGCAAATCCTGGAGGTACTTGTAAGAAAGTTTGTGCAGCCATAGCGTATTGTCCAGCATGCATTTGCGCGATACCTTCAGCCACATGACAAAATGGTTTGACGTCCTGATCATCATACGGTCCAACAGATGTTCCTCTCATCTTCTGAACATTGGAAAGAACTGCGATATACTCCTTTCTTTCAATAGAGACTTCAATTATGTGTTTGCAAACGTCAATTACGTGTCTGGGAATGCTGATATCTTGTCGCATGCGAGAATAAGCGTCGAAAGCAAGTGCAAGTTGACCTGTAGCTTCATAATGTTTACCTAGATCTTCATTTCCCATCTGTTTGGAAAATCATTAGCCAATCGAATCTTAAGCTATAAACGTTGAAGAAAATAAGGAAGATGACCTACACGAGTGCTTTCCTTAATCAAGTTGTTCTTATAGCCCTTCAACTGTGCTTCCAAACGTGCAGCCTCGGCAGCATTAGACTTATTGGTAGCATCAATCCATTGATCATCTCTAAAAGCCTCCGGTTCATTTGGGGCCACCTTCGCCAAAGCAGCATAAGCATCCATATAAATTGTAACATCTTTCCCTTGCTTTGCTTCCTTGATTAAGATTTTTAGAGCTTCGACACCAAGGAAGGTAGAGGTGACACCGATGAGATAGAGTCGCTCAAGCCTGGTCCGGCCTAAAACAAGAGGAAACATTAGTGACAGAACTCTTTAAAATGCTACACAGCAGAAAATAAATGACCTTACCTCTGTAATTCGAGATGTAGCTTTCAAGATCGAACTTTGGCGGATCTGCAAAAAGTAGTTTTGTTAATAGTTATCCATGTAGATATTCAAGCACTCTCAACTAAACACCTACCAGTAACAACAAGAGCTTTCTTCCTACTCATAGTAGGAGAAATCGGCGGATACATTGAAGTCATTTTAACCCAAGGTCTTTGCGCAATAACCGCGAGAGTCTGATGCAATTGTGGAAGTCGTAGAAGAATCTCTTCAATGTGTTGTCTCCAGTAATCCTTATTTCACTCTCAGTCAAGTTAAGGTAGACTTTTTGGCGTTCTTAGATTATTCTGCACTTTTCGTGGGAAGCTTCGATTATTGATAGATTCTCGAGCGAGGTTAGGAAGGAGCTATATATCAAGATTAGACTAGGGATTATTACATACCAGGAGGGGTGATAGCAGTAATGCTGGTGTCATGGTCACTCGGGTGCTTGTCCAATCGGTCACTGATCAAGGATTTCCGTGGTGGGTTGAGCAGGGCTGAGAAGGACTAGGTAGTACTTTGTACAGCTTAAGCACAGACTTGTTTGCATGTTGCAATGCCCTGCCTAAACTGTTAGGCATATATAATTTTGTGAACCTCCGAAGTCCAGTCATATCAATATTAACATCATGAAAGTACCATGAACATTGGAAAGATTAATCTAATAACCATCATACTAATATACAATCTTCACTTTAGACTGATGAAGAGCTATCATCTATCTGGTAACCCCAACACCACAGACGCAAATCATTCTTTCTAGTACAAAATAATACAACATTATAACCTCATCTACTCAGCCGAGAATGAGTATTAGTTTAAAGACTCAAATATTTTGTTACGAGGTTTGCCGTCTAGATCACGTGAAAGTGCTCTAGGCTCTCGAGGTGGTTTATAATTAGGCGTCAAGCAGGGACTTAAGTAATGACAATGATACAACTCGTAACTAATAGTAGAGTATACTAAATGATTGATCTTGAGCACGAAGCTCTATACAAAGGAAATCCATCATGATTATATAGACCTTCGTACTATACATCTCATG